TACTAGAGAGGTTAAAGAATGAATGAAGAACTTTAATATTCTTTATATAGAAATAAAATGAGTTGCGTATTTTATTTTTTATTTTCCCAAGGAAGTGACGAGCCAATATATAGGAAGCAGAAAAGCTGACTACGTTTCATTTTTATATTCGTTGTTACATGTTAAAGTGAGTCACTTCCGTTGTTTCTTGACTGCAATGTGGTGCAGTTGTGATGATAGACGCTAAGCGTGATCCAATTCTACGTCTAAGTTCACATTCTTTCTTTTCGTCTAATATTACTGTTAGAGTATGTACTTCAAACGATGCCGTAAAATAGAAAATGAGTTGAAGTATTTTTCATATGTTCGTTTCCATTCTATCTTTATTTCTATCACGAAGTTTTTCGTTTGTTTTTTCTTAGTTTCTTCCTGTACCGATGTTAAGAAGCTACAGATTACAGTTTTTCAGAATTCAGTCCTAATACAAGCCAAATTTCTGGATCGGTAGTGTGGAATTTCGGCATTTTGTTGAATTTCCACGAAAATTTTGGCAGTTTTGTCTAATTTTCGTCTAGATCTTCACAATAAAAAAGATTGTTCAAATTCCAGTTTATCTATGAGTCCCAGTGAAACGAAATGAGGATATCGGTGAAACTCTATGTTTTCGACAATATTCTTACTGTCAAAAACACTTCAAAAACTGCACGCATTGTCAAAATTCACGCAATGAGATCCCTTTTGTTGAAATTCTGATCTACCTCTGAACCGGGACCTTGAGATGAGTTTTTTCTCATGAATATTTGACAGTCTCGGTGTATATGAACAAGTAAAAGCTCAAGGTTTTAGACATTTATTGTTTACTGTTAAAAAATAGTCAATGCACAGCTTTTCTTATTGTTCACTTTTTCATCACTCGATGCTACGGATCTACTAGTTGGAGTTTTTGTGAACCCGAATCCAATAATATATGAAAGCTTGGAACCGAATCCAAACTCTAAAACAAATCTCTATTTTTGGAAGCTAAAAATATTGAGTTTCAAATACGGTCTTGAAAACTCTTAAAACGTTTCAAATAGTAATTTTTTTTCGGAACCTCTTCAAGGTTTCTTAAACTTCACATACCTATTTTCAACTTGTAAAAACTCCCTCGGCTCTATAAGAACCCGCAATTCTCTAACCGGTATTACTGCTTTTATGCAGTAATGCGTGAATTTTCCAATCGTAGTACAGTGTATCGCAACGTATGAATTGTTAGCGTCATTATATGCTATTTTGTCACCAAAATTTATTGACACAGCTAGCACAGAAGTCTTTCCCATAGAAACAATAGGTATTTGTATTAGATATTAGACAGAATATATTGCAAGATAACACGATAAAGTTGGAAATTACACGAATCGCTATATAACAGCAAGGACACCGATAAAGAAAGAAACTAAGAGATAACAATAGGGAAAAATCTGAAAGAAAGAAAGAAAAAAAGAAATATATATGACTAACAATATGTCTATGTAAAAAAAAAGGAAAAAGAACGAACACATGAAAAATATCTTGATTACAGTTTCTTATCTGTAGAGTATCTTAAGTTTACGTGTCACAACTATTTCAATATATCTGTCAGTTAACTCGTTCAAATTTCGTCAAATTGATTCATTCGTCGAACACAAACTTCTTATTGATCACTGGGTTTGGTATATGAGTCAAAATGAGTGGTTAGTCATATTAAAATGTCCGATCATTTTTTTCCATCAAATTTAATTGAAAATTAATAACAAATCGTGACTAATATAGGAAATTATTCATAACTGAATTTATCCTTCTTATGACTAATCTCATCCGTTTGTTGCATCAGATTTCATGGTAGTGAAATATTGTCTGACACTTGCTGAAAAATTAAGAATACAGAAAAAAAATCTTTTTTTCATGTAGTCAACACTAGGGATGCAACGGTGACGATAACCGGTCTAATCGGTAACCGGTCTAACGGTAACCGTTCGACCGATAACCGGTGTGAACCGGTAACCGTTTCACCGGTAACCGGTGTGAATCGGTAACCGTTTCACCGGTTACCGGTGGAGCGGTGTCCGCTGAAGCGGTTACCGATTGCTACGATCAAGCGGTGACTAATCGTCACCGTTGCATCTCTACTCAACACTTAATCTTCGATTGCTCAATTTGAGTCATAAAATACATGTTGAACTGACTTCCGCAACAAAGTCACAATTCATGATTACTAGCAGTATTATTGTGTTCCGATCCAGTTTTACTGATTAGTTACGCATCACTTCAATTAATATTATTGTCCTGATCTCCTGTTTTCGTTTGCATACGTGCCATGACCCATGGAATGTAACATGAAAGTTAGGTAAAAAAAGAACAGTTTTGCTCACAAAAGTTTGTTTCTGTTAGGAATTTTTTGTACACCCAGTAATGAGTCAATATTTATTGGGAGATATTTGAATTGAGCAATATTAACAAAAAAAAATATTTCTCTAACATTTCTGACTGCTAGAGATTAAGAACGAAAAACGCAGAAATTATATTATTTATTGTGTAACTTTGCTACTGGAACTGGGAAAAAAAGCTATGATGAAACATGAATGTTCACATTCTGACGGGCATTGTCTAGATAAAAAAGAATAACTATCATATAAAATATTTTCGCAAGTTTCTTTTTCAGTAAGCCAAAAGAAATAGCAATCAGCATGAGTTCAGTTTTTAACATGTTAATTAAATATTTGAATGAATTAGTGTTCTTTGTCAGTTACAAAAAAGAGTTATTTGGTGTGAAATTACTAAAAATATACAAAAAATATGTACTGAGATAAACTGTACCTGTTTATTATCTGTCAATTTCAAACTTGTTTCAAATTTTGAAAAAGAATATTATCTTTATTTTAACGTCGTCTTCTCTACTGATCGTGTTATTGTTCTTTCGATATATAAGTGATGTTTTCTTTTATGATGACCAAGGTTTATAATCTTTGTCTTTCCGTATGTTTTGTAGGAAAACGACCATGACGGAAATACTTGAAAGTGTCTCCTGACCCACCCAAAAGAAATTTTCATTTTTTGTCCCATAAAAATTTGGGTGTCGGAATGGATGTCTGACTAGATGTAGATGTCGCGGCGAAAAAAACGCCCCCAAATTACTCATATCAACACTCACACTCACACCCACATCTTCCTCTTATCTACTCACGTCAGATATAGTTTTTTCCAAGAGGGAAAAGCAGATTTTGGCGCCTAAAATCTTTGGAAATCTCCAGAAATCTTTGGAGATCTTTAGAAATCTTTGAGAATCTTGAAATCTGTTTTTTCTCCCTTGGTTTTTTCACCATGTAACAGAAAATTTTCAGTAATATTGCACAAGTACCTGTAATCTAGATTAAAATTTCTGTTTCATGTGCAATTAAGTACATGAAGATATCGAATTCGATAAGAACCAATGAAATATATATAGAGAGAAATAAGTTACCATAGGCAGTACGTACCTGTCTCTCGACCAAAGTTCGCCGTGTAAGTAAAACTTCATGATAGCAAAGGTTGCTTTTGCATATTCAAAACACGTCTCAGATTAGTGTTTAAGTAATTAGATAGATAATTCAAATACTACCCGATTGATTTTACTTAAAAATCACCCATGTGAAAATGTTTCATTACTATTCTTACGGTATAAGAAAAAAGATAGTGTGAACTTTGTTTTGTATTTAATCTAACAGAAAAACTTATATTAGATTATGTTTCAATAAGCGATTGAAAATGTATGACTCGAATACGAGTTTTCGTTGTATACATTTATTCAAATAATAACTCATGAAACAGACTAATCATACTTTATTAAATTTCTCAGAAACAAACGTGAATATTTGTATTCAGTTCACTAATGGAAAAACCGTTCCAAATGATTCAAACCTTTTGCGCAAATATTTTTTCCATAAGTAAAACTCAGTGAGACTAGAAAAACTCTAAAAAAGTTAAGGATTCATAGGTCTTTCTTCTCGAGTTCTAAACATTTTACTATGCTCCCTGCTAATAACAAGGGACTAATCAGAAGTTCAAAGTAAAAAATTTCGATCGGAAAATTTCACTACATATAGACCTCACGACCCTTATAGCGACCTAAATGTCATAACCAAAATGAACACTTCTTTCTCGAGACATTGTGTCTTCAAGTAACACCTTGATGATATCACATGTCGCAAAAATCGATTTTTCTTAAAAACTTGCTATGTCAAGAACGAAGTATTCATTCTTCATCAAAAGATTTTACCGAAATCAATATTTTCACCTAATACTGATAATCACTATCAATATGTATTTTTATATGATATAAAAATACTATAGAAACTCTGTAAATTATGCAACATTGCATTGTAATTCTGACAACATGTGATGAGTCAAACATATCTTGACACGTCATGATGACATGCTAGAATCATAGACTATAAAAGAGTATTCACAAACGTCAATATTATAAGATCACGTCAGAAATATTGAATCTCTCTACTCAATGATCATTTGACGTGCTTTTGACTAGTTTTTTTTAAGTATGAATGTAATGTTTCTTTCTATTACGCAATTGGTGAAAGAATTTGCAAAAACAAAAACAATTTTTACGTTCTTTACGAGAGATGACTCATCGCCCACGAATATTTTTGTTTTTGATTGCTCTGACTATTTACAGAAAAAACAACAGTATTTTCTCTGGAGAAAACAGCTCCAAGAAGCTAAACTGTTTCATATTAACAATTAAGTCAATGGTTTTGAACTATAGTATATATATTATGATAAGCATCAAGAGTCATTTGGAAATTAGCATGAGAAAAATTACCACCTACTCGGTTGGGAATTTTCCTTGTGCTCATTAAAAAAACCTTGTGAAGTGTGTCATCGGTTAACAACAAGAGTACATGGATATTAACTTAGCGAGACACCTATTATAAAATGAATTGTAATGAGATGTATTTTATAGTTATTAAACAATTTCTGTTGTCAAGATTTACGAATTCTCAAGTGAAATGGCAACGAAATTGGTACCTTCTTCCAATATTGGACACCCGATTGCGTCGATCGATGAACCAATATCTAATGGTGCTAAATCTATATTGTCGGAGTTACGTCGACTAGCAACATTTCGAACATGGAAAGGAGACAATCGCTCAGTATTTTCGAAAGGACTTCTTGCAAAAACTGGACTCTATTATATAGAGACATCAGATAAAATGAAATGTGAAGGATGTGACTTCGAGTACGAATTATCTTCATCAAATATGAATCCAATTGATGAACATAGGAAACGAAGTCCGAAGTGTCTATTTGTTTTAGATCAAAATAAATTCTTATCCAAAAATGGTATTTTTTTTAATGAATTTATTACAATTGAATATTCTTTCCTTATATATTTAGATCGACAAACAACATGTTTAATATCAAATAGTCTACAAACGAATGTTTCCGATTACAATCGTCAACAACAAACCAATCGTAATGAAAATGATGAGGAGGACAGTTCAAATACACAAACATTATTTCTTAATTCAATCACACATGAAACAGTCGATCAAATACGGACTAATACATTTTCGAACTGGCCGTTAATTACACCTACAGCACCAGATATGATTATTGCAGGATGGGCATATACTAATATTGCAGATCGTGTTATATGCATTTATTGCAAAGCACTCTTTCATAAATGGGAAAAAACTGATCGACCATATGAAATACATCGATTAAAGTCTCCTAAATGTCCGTTTGTATTATTAATGGAAAAAAAATCGCCGAGTTCATCTACCACAAAGATAACGATTACGACTGAGCCCAATACACAAGCAGCTGCGGAAGCAGTAAATAATACTTATTCATTAGCATATCGTAGATATGAAACATTTCAAAACTGGCCTCATACAAAAGAAAACCCATTACCCTCTGTTGACTCATTTGTTGATGCTGGTTTCTTTTATACAGGTTAAATTTTAAATATATTTATTGATGAAATTAATAATAATATTTGTTTGTTTCTCTTCTTTATATAGGCGAGAAGGCCATCGTAAAATGTTTTTATTGTAATGGTGCTCTGCGTAATTGGCAGAGCAGTGACGATCCAAAAGTCGAACATTGTCGATGGTATCCTCAGTGTGCTTATATTCGACAATACATTGGAGAAGATCTTTATCAAGCTATACAAAGAAAAAATCATGAGTTGAAAAGTATGTAAACAGAATCCTTTAAGAATCGGCAATATTTTTTATTTTTTGAAACAGGTCAGCAAAACTATAATAGCGATCCAAACGATCAACGATCAAAAGCCGCTCCATGGACAGATAATGAAATCGATAGAATGGTTAAGGCTCGTCTCGATTTACCTGTAGTGGAAACACTTCGAAAAATGGGTTTCACTATGGCAGTTATTCGGTAAGTTATTTCATAAAAATTTCTGATTAAGTCCCTATATAATATATGTTTTTTTCGTAGCAAAGCGTTCGAAATTCAACTCAAGTACAAACGTAAGTTTATCAAAAAAATGGAATTGAAAATACAATTGATATGTTTTCTTTTTGTAGATGACGACTTTAAAAGTGACAATGATCTTCGAGTGGCTTGTCTGATGCTTCATCAACAGGTGATATCAATCAATGGGAACGAAAGTAATCTACTTGTTCCTCAAGATTGGATGAAAAAATATCTCGAAGATCAAGAACAAAATATGGAACAATCCGAACTGCAACAACCACAAACTTCAGGACAACAAATTGAAAGTATGTATATCATTTTCTATTATGAAGTTTTCATTTTTATTTGTTTCAATAAAGATATCGAAACTCCGAAAGTTTTGGCACCAGTTGTAACACGACCGAAAATAACACAGCAAACAGGTATGATTATTAAAAGGAAGTTCTTCTATCTATCTATTTTTTTTTAAATATATCAGATGAACAAGCAATGCTATGTATACTTTGTCTTACAACAGAGCGTCAGGTAGCATGTTTACCATGCGGCCATTTAGCAAGTTGTGTGGCGTGTGGTTATAGTTTAAAAGTGTGTCCAATCTGTCGAGCCGCTGTGAAGGCCTTTGTTCGGATCTACGTATGAAATTCCTGCATCAAATCTGTTCATTCAATCAATATTATATTCAACTTACTCTTGAAATGGATACTCAGTGGTGGTTAAATTTTTTGTATGCAATGATCAAAACTATCTAAGTGAAAATTTGTTTATATGTCTATAAAAATGAAATGTTACTTATTGTCGATATTAATCGTCAATCATTTGAGAAAAAACAGTATACTAAAACATCATAAATGTATAAAGAGAGAAAGATTGTATTGGTCAGTGATAAAATAAATAAGCAAAGAATTATTTTTATCTTTATATAAACACTATCGAAAGGTAATATCAACTTTGCTGGAAAAATTTTCTATTACATCAATTTTAAAAACAAGAAAGACTTAATATTCAGAAGCATCATTATATCTTCATAAAAAGTTTCTAAATTGATAAGGTTATGTTCTTTTCATTTTGCTAGCCCTTTCAGATCAATATATCTCGTGAATATCAAAATTCATAGCTCAATAACTCTCTGTGTTATCCGTAAAATCCAGCTATCTGAAGTAAGATATTACAAGAAATACCGAAAAATCTTTTACTTGTAGTGTTCTTCAGGCGAGAAATGTTGAAGAAAAAAATCATTTTCTTATTACATATGATATCGATATTCAATTTAGAAAATTTACGAATTGGTAAAAGTTTAGCTGGATCATCTACTAGTGAGAAAACTGCCTTACTACATCGCTGAGTCATAGGAAATAGGTATATTTCAAAGGGTAAAATGATGAGAATATAACACGCGCGTGTAAACCAAATAAAGCGTTAAAGAATATTCTGCAGTAAAGTACAACTAGAGTTTTGCTAGGTATTCTATTAATCAAAAGATTTCTGACGAGAGATAGTTGATTTTCATCAATAGTAGAATATTTAAAAAAAATGCATATTATGAGAGTTGTGAGAGAGTGTAGGTAAAATGAATATCCAAATCTTCATTCTTACTCCATACTCATGTGCTTGAAATTCTCATTCAGTCGTCTCACTCCAAACTTTTGTTTTGACGACGATAAAATAAAAAGAACAACATAATGATCTTTCGGTGAAACATTCCGTCAACAAAAATACTTTTCGCCGAAAATATTGTTCGACTGAAAATATAGTACATTTCAAGGTTTTAAACTCTCAGAATAATATGCTGAGTAATACAATCGATCGAAAGTAGATGAAAGTCAATATTTGAGTATTCCATCTTTCTTTTATCACAAATGCATTTTACTCTTCAGATGATGTATTCTTATCATGACACAATATTTATCATAAATAATGAATATTTTATTTGAATGATTCTATAATATTCAGTAGTAATAATACAAGATGAAGCGTAACGGTTGTCGGTCATAGGTTTTTCTTAGATAAAACAATTCTTATTTTCCGAACGATAAAAATGAAGATATTTAGCTTATTCTTCAACTAGTTGAGAGTATGAAACAGTTATTTTCTTGTTTTCTTTTTATATATATTTTTCAGCGAAGTATAAAAATTCTTCTGATGTATTTGAAAAACAACCAATCTCCCCTTATTTTTGACAAATTTTACTTATAATAGTTTTATTCATTGCATACATATCATATTTTATTATAATCATGACAAGTTTTTTATATCAACATAAAATCAAGAAATAAACGAAATTTTGAATTGTCTTCTTTTTATTATATCGTTCATTGTGCTGGGTCTCATAACCGCTCAGTGAAGCGATAGGGAACAAAAAGGAAACAAGTACATGATATAGAGTTAACAGAAGAACATGAGTACATGAGAAATAATATGAGATCATGCATAAGATAGTTCGGATCACCAAGGCAGAAAGCAGAATAAGAACAATAAAATAATCGAAAAAGAAATCAAAGCTCAAAAATATGAACAATATCATACACAAAACAATCGAATCCGATGTGAATTTAAAAGACAAAGAAATGATCGGATCAATTAGCTAAACTACATGAAAGCTTTAAACTGTAAAAAAAGAAATTTAATGAAGGGTTTCCTGCTGGAGAATAGTAACATAGAAAAAACAATGCGGAATATCCAAACAAAAAAGAAAGGAAAAAGAAAATTGTAACAAATTTGACGACGTAACTGAATAGGAATGCGCTGATCATGATTAAATAAGATTTCAAGCATTGAAGTTCGAGATCAAATATTAGTCAAGATTTGGTAAAGAAGCTCAATGATTAATTTGGTATTCACGATACTCGAATTATTATTTCGTTCTTTTTATTATATTAAATGAATAATGCAGCTACTATTTGTATTCACAGACTTCATTTCATACAACAAGCAACATATAAAACGTCAGATCGGATGTTTGAAATTGAATACATTAGGTTTTTTATCGTTTTCATGACAATTTTCCTTAGTTTTCTCCAACAAAGCAATGTACATTTAATGATTTGAATTGACGGGAAAATTCTAGAAGCAATAACAATTAAATAATATATAATAATGATATTGATTAATATATTTTTTATATTCACTTTTTTGCTTAACAAATACTCAATCATAACAAAATAAACTAAATGTCTCATATTGGTTTTTTCAAATAGAACGAAAAAAACATGTTTGTATTACTCACTAAGAAAATCACAACTATTAGTCATACATGAGTGTGTAAATGACGTGAAAGAGTTGTCATAAATGTTAACTTTCGATTGCCGTAAAATTATGTTAGTGAACATAATCATTCTTTTTTTTTTCTTGCCAATGTTGATGCAACGATTTGAAGAAAAAATGCATTAGTATGGAAGAAAACTTGTTTTCAAAATAACTTATTGTTTATTATGATGATTAAAAAGAAAGTGATAACATCACATTGAATATTTCATGCTTTTATTCATAATCTGTTAGTAAAATCGCTATTTTTACGAACGTCCATTGATTTATAAAATATTTTTCATGAAGATTTAATAATTATGAAAGTAGCCGATGTCTGCTAAAGTACTATTGTTTTAGAGTATTCATCATGATATTTTATGAACTTTTTTAAAAACTCGGATAGAGAATATTTTAGAAAGCATTCTCCGGCAAATCAAATATGAGATTTGTACAATCATTTCAATTCTACAAGTAGTACACTATTCTTACTCCGAATATATGAGTTTGTGGGAAAAGTGTGACAAAAACATATTTTTGATATTTTTCTAATATGTTGAGTACCTAGTTCAAATCCAGATAATGCTTTTAATATGTAATCAAATTTTCTATCAAATGCATTTTATTGCAAGATTTCATAGATGAACTGTGATGGCAAGGTTTATGAAAAATTGAACATCGTGATTTTCAAGTCTCGGGAAACTCTTTTTGGAGTTAAGTTTTTGTAGTGCCATTTCAAAGAGAATAAAATGTTGAACAAAATAGGAGATTGTCACATTTGCTATGATTTTCTCTTAAAATGTTACAAGTATCATAAAAACAAAAATTTATTAATAAATCAACTAAAAAACGCCTTTTCTCGGTTTTTGTAATACTTTTAACTTTAGAAGAAAAAGTCGTAGAAAATGTAGCGATACATCTTTTTGTTTTTTTCTAAGATGGCATCGTTAAAAAATAGCTCCGACAAAATTTTCTTGGAGCTGAAAATCATCACGTGTGGTTTGTGTAGAAATCTTGCCATTATATTTCATCTATGAAGCTTTGCTATAGAATGCATCAATTCGTTGTTGTTAAATTTTTTCCACTACTTTAGATATGCTCAATTTTAGCTTTTTATATTTTCAGTATCGTAAATCAATTAGCCAGAAACATATGAAATGATCATGAGCGAGCAAACAAAATAGTGTTTTTTCATCTTCTTTTTTATTCTATATGTAGTTCAATATTTTGCTGTTGTTGGCTGCAGCTCCCGCGAAAGGCAAATGCTGAGAGACACAGAAGATATACATTCTCTTAATCATTGAAAATTTTATAGAGACACTTTTGCATACATTTCATCACAATGTTTCATGATCTTATATAGCCGATCGTGGAATTTTATGCTGTCGAACTGAATTTATGTTTATTTTGATATTACATTTAAATTTCATTGGATATTATTTTTTGTCACAGAACAAGTTTATAATCATATGAAGAATTCAATACAGATTTATAGTAACAAATCAACGTTAGACTATATATTTGTCTTGAAAAGATCTTATTTTTGACAAGAATAATTTTCTTTCTTTTTATCAGAATCAGAAACATGATTTTATTCAGCAAGAATCTGAAGTACCAGTGAACGACATTGATGTCTCGTCAAACGTATAGATTGTTAGATACAATGTCTGCAGTTATTATTTAGATCTTTCATAATTGCATTTATGCTCATATTGATTATTAAAAATCTTGATTTACATGGAAGCCTAAATAATGCTTGCATATCAAGGAATCATGTTGAATATTATATACAAAGTCAATAGATTCACAGGATTTGAAATATCTAGCATTCAAAAGGAAAGACTATCGTGCATCTAATCATGCTTTTAATTGGTTTTCAAGTTTTGATAGATTTAAACCAACTATTACTTGGTTACTTCAATGAATACATCATATAAAACAAAACCACTGAATATATTTTTTTTTTAGATATGTTATAATTTATTAAATTGTTTTTATTAGATCCAGAAAAGATCATATAATATTATTTGAGTCTTACAATTTAAACAACAAATGAATATTCTCACAATCAATACAGTCAAAAAAGAAAAACATCGGTTTTGTTATTTTATCTTGTTCTAATTGATGATTAAGTTTTGTGGTTAATGAATGAATCTATTGGAAAATTTAACAATAATTTATATATTGAATTTTTGTTGTATTTCCTAAAGTATCATCTTATTTTAAATAAACTAAATATTTTATAAGATTAAAAAAAAACAGAAATTTATAATATATTTATTTCGTAGTTTATCAGCTAACATCATAGTATTCATAACCACGTGCCTTAATAGTTCATTATATCTAATCAAGGGCATGCGATGAATACATTCATGTTGCTTTTGGTTTCTTTGTTTTTTTTACGTGAAAGTTTAAAAAAAACTTACTCAATGATGTTTGTTCCAACTGACCATTTCATGTTGTTCTTAGTCCATTCAAGTATATAAATGCCAAATATGATCGACTAGCGGCATACATCAAGTTGATTTGTGTCGACGACAACGAACTAAATCGAGTTTGTTACATATGGTACGACGTCTTTTTTTCCTCTCTCCGGATATCAATAATTTTTCTTTTTTTTTCAATCAATCGACCAAAATAAGATTATCGATCGTGGTCGTCTGTTCGCGAGTGACTTCTTTTTTCTTCTCTATTCTATTTTTTTTCTTAAAGCAAAGATGAACTCAACACACACTTCATTTACTTCACTTACACGATAAACTCTTCATCATCATCATCATCATCATCATCATATATATATACTACCGCCGATCCAATCCATATTTATTCATGTACGTATGTTTCAAGAGAAAAAAAAACGATAGACTACAATTTAGCGGAAGAGATTTTTTTTAGAGTAACAACAAGAAAAAAAAAGGCGATCGTATGCGTTCGCTTTTCTCTTTTACTTAATTGACAAAATGTACAAACATAACGAACACGCACATATATGCGCAACTAACGATGCTAAGCTTCTTAATCACGAATGTACACACAAACGTATCGACTCTGCTAGTCATTAGAATCCAAAATCAATAAGGAGGTACTAAATGCAATCGAATAAGATTCTCATTATATGTTCAGGAAACGCCTTTTTTATTTTCAAAACAAATAATTTAATGACTGATTAGAACAAAAAAAAAATTCTACTAACATAAAATAATATCTAGAATAAGCTTCATTTAAATGTATTATTAATAAAACAGAAAATGTGAATAAGAAGCATAATTTTTTTTTTTAAACAATCGATTTCATTTATTGAATAAAGTAACAACACATAGATCTTTACAAAGTGTATCATAACTACTATCAGTTTTGTTGACCAATAAAACATCTACTGTTGAAGAGAAAATTTCATTGATTCATACATAAATTTTAAAAAGTAGATTTCATTGAGATAATGAGTTTTTATTGCTTTTTCGTATATATATATTCATGTTTATTTATGAATAGTCGTTTATATAAGATTTTAAGATTGCTAATTGAAGAACAGCTCATATGTTACATCCTGTCTTCAATTTATATCGATGGTTGAACATCGCTAGAGGAAATGGACAATTAAATTTATTCTAGTCGAATGATACATTACAGAATTAGAATAAATTTACTACTTATTAACATTTATTGAAATAGGCGATGATATAAACAAGAATTTCTATTCAGAAAATGTTTAGAAAATCAATAGTTATTTATAAAACTAGAGGATAAATAAATATCATTGAAAGAAAAACAATGATAGTTCGATGTGTGTTATTCTTGTATGAACTGATGCGTACATATGGTTTTTGAAAATGACTATTTTTTATGTTGTGCTCTATAAATAAAAATACTCATATATTTAATAGAAAGTCTCTTTTTTTATTATGAAATTTCATGTAGCTTCCATTTACATTGTCTATTGTTTGAATATATGCAACATTATATTTGGAATTATCATAGTTATAAAAAATTATGGAATCTTGAACCATTTTTTAAAATTTTGCAATGATATTCGGACATCTTCGCTGATAATAATTAATTTAATATGAATAAATTGATTTGTATAACTTACCAAGTTTTTTTAGTTTTCTCAGATTATCAAGGATCATAGCTGAATAGTGAGTACTTTATTAACATTTATCAGTGGCAAGAAAAAAATCTTATGGATATTATAAAAATTTCCAGACTAATGAGCATCAACGACGAAAATACTCGGTTGTTTGCTATCTGCTATAATTATAGTTGAAAGCTTGATTTTTTGCCTTAGAATGATGATAATAAACTGGCGTTTGTAAGCAAAATGACTGCTGGATCTATTTTCGATTAATATCAAATGCTATATTCATCATTTACGACAGTGTTTTAAACTTTTTTTTGTTCACAAGAAAAAAAACAGAACTAAAATGATAGCATGACTTTGAATTCTCATCAACTATATCTATCTTTTTGACACTATGATTGGAACTATTAGGAAGATTCTAAGGTTTTTACCAAAGCAAAATATATCAGGAAACAATCACATGTAAAACATTGACGTCAGTAGTATCTGGACCAATTATCATATTGAAAAACGAGTTATAGAGAATTATTTTTTATCAAAATATTTAGTTTGGTTTTTTTTTAATACTATCGGAACGTTTGATTCGAGTAGATTCGTTATAAAGAAGGTATATAATGACACGACTTCATACAGCTTGAAACTAAACAAAAAACTAACTGAGAGTATCAAAGGAAAAATAACTTCAACAAACTGTATTCGCTATAATATCTTCTTTCGATATCTATTCCTGAAATTTGTTGCTAAAAAAATATTCAAATGAATTCAAATCAAGCACTATTTTACGTTATATACAAAAAAAAAAAACAGTAAACTGCTGCAATACTACCGAAGAAACTAATCGAATAAACAGTATCTTTTTCTCTCTGTTCTTGAATTAAACATTGACTATTCCAACAGAAATCAACGACAAAATAGAATTAGCATCAGCAACAAGACTGTTCGATTCGATAAAAATGATATAATTTATATGAAGACTAAATGTTAGTATTGAAAGTGAAAATCAACAATCAAGAAAAGTTCCTCTAGCTATGCTTATCCTGAAGTGTTTATTTTTGTTGTAGTATCGGAAATGTCCCGAGCAACAAGGGGTTGACTCCTTCCAATCATGAAAAATTTCCGCTTGTCTCCAGCAGAATTCCAGTGTGTTGTTGGTTTCTTGTTCACCAGCATCCAACCCCCTCCGGTCACTAAATACGGTCAATTGTGACAAAAATATTCCAATCGGTTTCCTGAGTTAGCAAAACACCTCTCTAATTCTACGGATCTCAGGGCACCCCTGCATATTATAATATGATAAACCTTGGTAGAAGCACAAATAAAATTTTAATTTTGCACACACATAAAATGAAAAATTATATTCATGTGATCGATATATAAGCACTTCAATAACTATTAGCAATCAAATGTAGACGATATTGATCTTCATGATAATACTTGATTTGTGTCTAGCATAGATGAAAGTCATTTTGTAATTACCTGCAGGGTTGATCAAGTCGGGTCAAGATATTTTTGTCATTTTTTTTGTTTTCTGTTTATTTTTGATAATGAATGTTAATATAAATTTTCTCATAACACGATATCTACTTCCTGGTTTGTATGCACAAAAAATAAGAACAGTAAAATTAACTCTTCTCTTTCATATAGTTCAACAACACAGTAAAACATCAATTTTATTAAATCAAAAACCTAGACTAACAGTTGTGTATAAATCAAACTAATTTATTAACATTTAAATTAATATCTTATTGTATTTTAAAGATATTCAAATAAAAATATTAACTTGTAAAAATTTTGAACAATCTGATCTCATTAAAAGATCTATTTGAAAAAGCACACACGTGAGACTGATGCTGATTTAACAGAAATATACATGATTTTTCTTGAAACTTTATTAAAAAATTGATATGAATTCCTCACTGGTTAAATTATATTCTTGTAAAAAACCATCAGTTTCTTTTGAAACTGATTTTCATATTGAATCATCAACTTTTACATATTTGAATAAATGATTCGAGTCAATGGTACCCAACTTTCGAGTGCGAATCTATGATTTAAACTCGTCCATGCTCCAGTATATATATTTTCTTCTTGGATAAGACAATTATAATATATAAAAGTGTCAATAAGGATTACATGACTCTGAAATATCAGATTATTATAAATAATTAAAAGTCCAAAGTCGACGAGTGTATTCGTTATCAACATATGAACCGTCGATTTTCTCACTATTTATTGTTGAATTTTTAATACCATTAAGGAATTCAAATTTTATTCGAACATAAAATAAAAATTTTTAAACATTAGGTAATAATATACAATAATGTCTAATTAGTTTACTATAACTCTGTGACCCATATTTTCTCTTGTTTTTATTTCAATTCAATCTATTTTCTTTTGTTAAATCTAAAAATTCACATATGCTATTTATTTTCTGCTTAAGGTTACTAATGATGGAAGCAACTCTTATATCAATAGATTTTCATATTTCAATCTGTTGACTTCGCTCATGATTGTATTTGATCATCTTTTAAAATTTGAGAACATTTTACCTACTTTACATTCAATAAATACTATTCATGATGCATAAGTTCTAAAGTGAATGATTTTAAATGTCATTCATAGACCTTTTCTCTATTTGTATTTTAATTCCTTTATCGACGATAGCTGACATTTTTCTTTATCATCGAAGATTGTATGATGAAACAAAAAAGTCAAAATAATGTTATAGATTAATTTGAATTTCATTTTGAAATAACAATATTGATAAAGTATATCAAAATAGTTTATCTTCTTCCCAATGGTGGTAGGTTTTTATCTGTATCGTACTATCAACAGCTTTTTTAGACTAAACATATAACTGATACAAAGGAAAAAAGCCGCTAAACTTCATGAATGTCAATAATGAAGCCAAAACAAAAATAACAATAAAAAACGAATCAAATGGCAAAACAGAAAAATAATAAGCAAAGATAGTGAAGAATCAGTCATGCTGTGTAACAGCAATAAATAGATCAATGTGTTTTAACTAAAACGCATATATACATAAAATTCCATAAACAATAGAGAGTAAAAACAAGCCAGTTATGCTTGCGCAAGTAAGACGAATAAAACTAAATCTATAAATTAAAAAAACCTTTTAGCTCGTCCTATTTGCTGTCATTATCGTGATTGTGGCAGTCTTCTCTGTTGGTATTGGTATTCTAATTGGTCATTTTGCTATAACTAAAATACCAACAGATATTTCTCGGAAATATAATTATATCACTCGGCAGGAGAATCAACAGAATTATCAAACATTTATTAATTCTATTCAAGCAGCTAATATTGAAGCATATCTTAAGTAATCTTAATTAAATTTTCATTTCAATAAAAAGATTTTTACTGTATGAAATCGTATAGAGATCTGGCATCACGTCCTCATATAGCTGGTCTACCTGAAGATTTAGAAAGTGCTCAAGTCATTGAACAACGATGGATAAATGATGGTTTACAAGTGACTAAACCAAAATATAATGTTCTTCTTTCTTATCCTGATGATAATAATCCTAATCGGTTAATAGAAAACTCATTAGATATTTTTATTCATTTTTTTCTATTTCTATTCCAGAGTTACTCTCACAATTGGTAATGGAATTGTTATTATTGAAACGAATGGAACTGAAAAAACATATGATCCTACACAACCAAAAACAGTCAATCCATTTCTTGCCTATACACCTAATGGAACTGTTTCTAGTGTAAGTCATCAATGAATATCAACAATTGATTTCATATTGAAGGATGTGTTTCTATTTGATAAAATAGACAAAACTATTCTATGCTAATTATGGTCGACTTGAAGATCTCCAACATTTAGCATCTGTCGTTGGAAATGCAAGTCTTCAAGGTAGTATCATCATTATGAGATATGGTCTTATCTATCGTGGCAATAAAGTAATATTCATTGTGTTTGAAGGAAATGTATTAGACTTATTCGATAGATCATGTATGCTCAATATTTTGGAGCTGTTGGTGCTATATTATATAATGATCCAGCTGATTATGCTCCATTTGGAACAACACCTGATCAAGTCTATGATCAAAAATGGTATATGCCTCCAAGCGGTGCACAACGAGGATCAGCGTATACTTCGAATGGTGATCCTTTGACACCTATATATCCATCGACCGGTTTGATAATTGTCACCGTCTTTAGAAAATCGAATGTTTTCTATTTTTCATAGACTACATGTATCGACTAAAAGAGGAAAATGTGAAATTTCTACCGAAAATTCCTGCACAACCAATCAATTACAACGAAGCTCAAATACTTCTTCAGTAGCACTCTCAACCTTCTTTTTTATTTTTAGCTGGCAATGGAATTTATTGCATTTAGATATTTGCAAGGTAGGGAAGTACCAGCAGAATGGCGTGGAGCTTTACCTAATGCAACATATCGTTATGGTGAAGAATTTACTTATCCAGCGTAATGCCTTTAAGCTTACAATGATTTCTTAAGCATGAATATGTACTTTTTTGATTTAGTTCAATTGAAATTAGATCATATAATCGACTTGAAAGAAAAGATACATACAATGTGATTGGAATCATGAAAGGAGAAATCGAACCAGGTATTGTGAATTGCTTACTTTTCTATGCGATGAACTGTTTGTTTTAACAGATCGATATGTTGTCATTGGTAATCATCGGTAAGATTTGTATTATCTTCTATTTTGAGACAAATCTAGTCAATTCCATTTCTTTTGTATTTTTCTTTTGAAAATATAAATAAGAGATAATGTGTTTTTACTGAATGTTGAAGATAATTAGTTATTACTCTGGTTAAACTTCTGAAAAGCTTTATTTTTAGCAAATAATGAGAGAATAGGAAGAACTATAAACTTGTCAATCATTTCTCTTGACTACTATTAATTGAATTTATTTTTTGGTTTTTAGAGATTCTTGGAGTTTAGGTGCTATTGATTCAACAAGTGGAACAGCTACTCTGCTAGAAATAACTCGAGCTATTGGTCAAATGTATAAAAATGGTGCTGTTTTGTGATAATATTTAATTGATATCATTTTTGATACTTATTCTCAATAGGATTTCGACCAAGACGTAGTTTAATGTTTTGTTCATGGGGTGCTGAAGAATATGGACTTATAGGCTCAGTAGAATATGTTGAGGTATATATTTTTATTAGTAATGAAAGTGCATAGATAATTCACTAGTTCATTATTTATTTTTCAGGAATATATTAAAGTATTGGGAGCTCGTGTTATTTCTTACTTGAATATAGATAGTCCTGTTCAAGGTAACTGTCTTCTATTAAACGTAATGATTATTTCGTGAAACACGATCTAAAAGGAGTGTTGATGTTAGCATTTTAATCTTACAGGGATTTACTAACAGCTTTTTTTCTAATAGGAAATTATACGATTTATACCCAAGCATCACCAATGCTATTTGATATTATTATTGAAGCTTCAAAAATGGTGAGAGAAGTTATTATATATAAGAAATCTTCTTTAACTTGAAATAAAGATTTCAAGTGCATATGATCCTCCTGGTCAAACTATTTATGATAAATGGATGAGAGTTCATCGTAATAATATAACTAATGAACCAAAGTACTTAGTATAAAATTTTTACTCTCAGTACATACGTTGTTTTTCTGTACAGAATTCAGTATGGTTTAGGATTAGCAGATAGTGATCATTATGCATTTGATCAGTTAGTTGGTTCATCAAATTTCGATGCAGCATATCAATTTAATCCAATTGATCATAGAAATATTAGTATGTATCCACTTTATCATACGTCCTATGAAACATTTTCTATGATGAAAAAGTTTATTGATCCAGATTTTACAGTAAATCAATTATTATTTAGAAAGATTTATTTTTATTATCTATAATGATTCTTATTTAGGCTCATAGAACGATGGGTCAATTCGTAGGTGTTTTAGCATTAATTCTTTCCGAAACACATATTTTACCATTTAATGTTACACGATATACGATAGCAATTAAACAATCAATGAAGAACATTCAACAGAATGATACACAATTTCGTATGAATGAAATCTTTCGATTTATTTTCTTCTCATAAAAAATTACTTTAGTAACACTTCGAAATGCTATTAGTGACTTCGAAAAAGCAGCACAAGATTTTGTAAATCGTTCTAAATCATTAAACACAGAAAAGTCAGTTATGATTATTATTATTAAATAAATAAAACTAAACATCTTTTTTTGGATTTAGTTTATATCAAGTTCGAGCATATAATGATCAATTGTTACAACTTGAACGAGCCTTTCTAAATCCATTAGGACAAGGTCCAGATTATACTGATTTGAAGTACGAAAAAAGAATATAGTCTTTTTTGTCTATTCTGTAATCCTTTTTTCGTTTATATAAGACATATAATTTATGCACCAGCTAAAGGGGCTCAATATGATGATTCTGGTTTGCCAACTATTAGTGATGCAGCTGCTAGTGGTAATCAAACAGTAATTAATCAAGAAATAGCAATTGTTGTTTATTATATACGTGGAGCTATATCAACATTAAAACAATTTGATAAATTTATCTCATAAGATAATTTTAAATAGATTCATTTATATGTATACATATAAAAGATAAGAACCATTATTTATTAATAATACTAGTTGTTAGTAAAATAAAATCAACTTTATTTGATATTTATCTAGAGATTGAAAATTTGATTTGTCTTATCATCACAATGATATTCTATTGTTAGAAATATGATACTTATCCATACATGAATTATTACTTACTTCTCTCTTGGAAAAACAATGTGAGATTTTTGGAAACACTTTTTCATTCCTACTTAAAGTAATATTAATAACAAAAAGTGAACAACTGATCGAGATTGGTAATCATGATAGATTTCTACAAGTCGAAACTCAAAACTCTGAATATGCAAATATGTTCTTCTCATTAAATAATTAATAGACGCTAAGACTCAGACGACTTCTAATTCCAATAGTATTGCTGAGTTCAAACAATCGACTTGACAAAAGAAAAGATAAGTTATTGCTCAATATTTGCACACCTGTAACGATGATCTCGTACAAATAAAAGAAAAGTCTCCTTCTCAATGTTTAACTGAGTCGATTCTCAATGTTAATGCTTGCGTAAACATATATCGTCTTTTTTATTTATCAATTACTATAAAATGTTGAAGACTTCCTTCTTGACTAGTTTATGTAAAATAAAAAATTGTTCATGCTGCATCACCTAAGTTCTTTTCTTGTTTAAATATTGTATCAAAATAAGTTTCAACTTTATCAGTCTTGTTATTTGTGTAAGCTGAAGTAAAAATGCATCAGTTAATACAAATTAGATGAACATCCGTATATAATTATTACAAACAACACAGTTTTTCTAAATTTGTTTTAGACTAAACTAACTCACATAGGATATCAATGTTTACGTATTTACTCAATTTTATGTTATTGGTAACCATTTCATACAAAATACTATGCTAACATATTGAATATTCAAGTGCATTANATTGACAACGAGGAATACCAACTAAATTTGATATTTCATCGAGTTCCCATGATGATGTTTCACGGCCTTTTTGTCGATTACCCATTTTTGCTTTAGTGAATGTCTGTTTCAAAATAATATTTATACATTCGAACACCCCCGCTAAATACAGTCATTTGCATCATTAGGCCAATGACAGACTGTCATCTGATGAATAGTATATGAGTAATACTTCACCTTGATAGTTATTCATTTATTTGTTTGTATTATATGTAGATAGTAAAAAAGGTTTTGGTGGTGAACATGGCGTTGATGATCGTGCAAAAGATGAATCTGCAGTGGGTTTTGATTATAAAGCAACAGTTGAAAAACATTCATCACAAACAGGTTTAATAAAAATATGAAGTTTTATATTACGAAAAAAATTATAAAATTATAAATAATTATTGTGTTCAGATGCTTCGAAAGGTTTTGGTGGAAAGTATGGTGTCGAACAAAATGCACAAGATAAATCAGCCGTTGGATTCTCTCATAAAGAAACACTAATAAAACATTCTTCACAAACAGGTTACTTTTTTAATTAGGTGTTATTTCTTTTCTTTTAAAAAAGGTATCTTTTTTTCTCAGACTATACTGCAGGGTTTGGTGGTAAATATGGTGTTCAAAAAGAAGCACCTACAAGCCCTCGTGTTGCTCCGTCTTCTCCACAACCACCTGCTGGTATATTTATCATTATCTTCGTCACATAATTACATATCTTCGTTTATTTTTTCAGAATCAAAAGTTATCGAAAAACCTGCAATAATTACAAGTAGTAAAGCAGATGTTGGTAATATTCGTGCAAGGTAAAGTTGAGAAACTAACTTATCAAATCATATATTTTTTGTATCATATAGATTTGAAAATATGAAAAAAGAACAAGAATCAGAAACTGCAAAGCGCATTGCTGAAGCAAGAAAAAATCGAACTGCTACTGATCAACAGCAACAGAAACAACAATCGAATAATGATGATCAAGAAAAAATAAAACAACAAGAAACAGTTTTAACAACGAAAGAAACTATTAGAGAGCCATCACCAGCTCGACCAAGGACACCAACAGAAACGACTCAAGAACCATCATTAGCTCGACCAAAGACACCAACGGCACCCGAAATATCAACTCCAAATCAGGATGAAAATGATGATGATAACATTGAAACTGTAACATCAACAACAACTGAAGAGAACAAAGAAAAACCAAATCAATTTGTTGGTGGTATTAATGTGACATCTTTATTACGTCTACGTAAGACTTCATCTTCATCATCAAAAAAAGATGAGGAGGAGGAGGAGGAGAATGAGTGGGCTATTGATAAAGATGAAACAAATCAACAATCAAGTGAAAAAACAAGTCCATCGGCAAGGTCAACTGACGAATGGATTGAGTAAAAAAAACCATGAAACGATCGTCAATTTGCAACAAGTAAGAAGTTCGTAATACATTTTTAATAATTATTATTTTGACTAGTAGTTCGAGTATTCTATTTTTATAACTGAATATCTAATTGTTTGACTTTATTTTAGTTTAGATTTATAATGAATAATGGTAAAATTAAATTCAAATCAGATTTATTTTTGGCTTATTATATTTGAATATTGCAATAATTATTTTGGTGCGTGATTTATTTTTTTCAGTAATTCAGCCATTTTCAATTTTTACTTTTATAAAAAAAACTATTTAGATTTTCGAAAAACAAGTCTTTTTTTAATGTGTGTTATATGCAATAGTTGATTGATGCAGCTTTTTTTATAATTTGTTTTTTTTTTTCATTATATTATTTTATAAACATACAATATTGCTTCAAGAATTTTCTTTGAATTCATATATCGAATATACAGTTGGTTCGGAAACCAGAACTTAATCAAAGGATATTGTATATTGTTTGTGCATGACTGTAATGATTGAACTGACACTTGTGAAAAAATAATGAAATAAAATAGTGAATGATAATGGTTTATATACGATTCATTCATATGTTTATAAAAGAATTCGAATACTATCACCAATTGATCGTAATGTGACAAGTATTTTCCATGGAAACGGACATTTTTCAAGTTCAATAAGTAATTGAACCATCATATTCACTCTATGATGTTCAAATCGAATTTGTCTATTGTCGCAGTCTACTATCATAGTTACTTCATCACCTGTTCGAATAATTCTATCATTATGAATTCGATATCCACTAACACTTTCAATAGCTTGATCAAGTTCCCACCAACCATAAGCATTTGATGCAGTTAAAGTTTGTACAGGTATAGCATACGTTTCTGACTTGATACCGAAAAAAAGATTGTTAGCTCCTTTACTTTCGATGCGAAAATGAATTGCATGTGTTCCAGAAGTATAAAGACGAGTGCCATAGACACTTGAACCATCCCAATAAGTACCTGAACATGTTGCTAAAAGACCATCTTTGGTTAGAACTATTTTTCCAAGAAAAGTAGAAAATTGTTCATGAGTAAATGTAACTATATCTTGACAAGCAATATTATTTTCAGCAGATTTTTCATTGGAAATAGAAGATGCACATGACGACTGTTTTTCATGTACTTTGATCATATGTATAGAATTAGATGCGTTCTCATTCTCGACGATTTGCATACCCATTTTTGTTTCCAGTAATTTGCGAAGTTCTTTTAACTCTTGTGTCCATTTAAACAAATCATTTTCAGTAAAATCATCCAATTCTCGACATGATTGTATTTCATTAGTGATCTTATCTAGTGATACTTTCAATTCATTAGTAGTTTGATCAATGAAATGTTGAAGATCAACTCGAGCTGCTGCTGCTGCTACTTGGATCTTAGTTATTGATTTTTGTTCCCATTCATCGATACGCATTAATAGAGAATGAGCTAAATTCTCGTGTATTATATCACGTCGAAAAAGATCATGTTCTTGTCCAACATTATCCAATTGCACAGCTAGTTCTTTTCGATGTTCAATAATATGTTTAATACAAAATGTTTGTTGACATCCATCGCACGTAGTAACGCCTCCACCTTTGAGGCATTGAACGCAAGGCTTTTTTACAATAGTTGACGCCATTTAATAATAGACTCCGATTGCAAAGTTCTGTTATTTGAAAAATAAAAAGCAAAGTGTACTATAAAAAGAATCGTCTCATATGGCTTGTCTTCCAGAAGAAATCTTGTTGTCTGGCAGAGAAAGAAAGAGAAGAAAGAACGATTACGTTGACAACGTGTTAAATATAGGAAAGAAAAAAATTAACTTTTTGCTTATTTTTATTTTCACTTTTTCAGCATATGTTAAAGCAGAAGGAAAAGCAAAATTGTTAAAAATTTTTAGAATGTCTCAGTATTTGAACTGGTAATGAAATATATAAAAATATAGAATAGATTCTTACACAGAAAACATTCATAAGAAATGAGCATGTTACTATTTAAAATTCTAATTTTTCATACTCATCAACAAATAGTGGCAATTAAATCATTGGATATAAACTCAATGAGAATCGTGGTAATATCTGTTTATGGATGAAAAGTACAGCATAATATTAAATCGGAAATTTTTCATACAGCTGTTTGATGAATAATAGTGACATGAAAATATATTAAGCACAGCATATCTAATTCACAAAATACCATATCGCCAAGCATGATCCACTCTCCTGTTTATTATTTCACTATAGAGCAGTGAATGTTTTTACATGATTTTGCTAGTAAGCATTACTTCACAAAAAGACAATAAACTTGTTAATTCACTTGGATTCACGCATTAATGATTATAGAATTTATCTTCTGATGGATTGAGTTCAATTCAGTCCATTGTTGGCATCTCCGCTACATATCTGTTAAATTTAATCTTAGTTTAAACGAATGTTTATCAAAGGTAATTATTATTTCTCGTTTTTTTCAAGGGTAAAAACACTTCTATATTCATCATTAACTTCTGAAGTGATCTTCAATTTAGTTTGTGTTCGTCAGTTGTACTAATAAACCATCATTTAAGTTATATTATTTACTTTCATGGTTATCCAGGGGCAGTGCACCAGGAATACAAGGTTTAGCAATTGCTTCTTCTAAAAATAATTTAGACAAGCAATATGAACTCATTGCCTCATGTGTTTACAAAATAAACCTATCTAATCCAATATACATATACTTAATATCTTGAGGATGAGAATGAAAAATTGTGAAAATACCAGGCAACTTGCTACATGACTATTTAGATGTTTGCACACTGATCAGTGAACGCAAAGAAATCATAGAAAAACCTTGAGTTTTTGTTTAAGTATTTTGAATAAATATTTTTTTTCAATAGGAAAGTCAATACACCAATTTGAAGTGCGTTTAACGTGATGTCTGATGAATCAGTATTGAAACGTTGTAGATATTATACATTTGATAAAAACTATGTTCTAGCATAAAAAGGTTTTGCTGCTGAACTGCCCACTGGATAAGACAGGGGTACAGTGGATAGAAAAGGGGACCAGGAGTAATTCTTTTAATGATTACAGCTATCAACTTAATATTTTGTCTACATATAGCACGAACTTCATACTATTTGTCTGCGCTTGTCCAGCCTCGTTCATACGAAATATTCTTGGAAAATGAAGTTTTCTGTTGTCAAAAACTGTGAATTAACACACAATAAAAAGTAGCTTTTTCATTATAATGTTTTTTTAGAAAAAATGAGACAAGAATTTTTTTTTTATATACTTGATGCACTTATTAACTATGTGTTATATAAATCTGCCACAGACTAATTACTCTTCAAGGACCTGCAGCAAGTTATCATCAATAAATTGTTTTCAACTTTTGGATCTTTGCAGACAAAAAATAATATGGGATGCAAATTAGACCTAATTTTCTAGTTTTCATTAGATATTCATCGCAATGTGTGAATTAACTAAATGTAAAATCTCAAGAGTTTTAAGAAAAAGTTCACTGTTTGGTTCAAGTGGAGCACACATATACGTATATGTCACACATCTTTAGATTAAATATGTCTTTTAGTCGTTTATTATTTGCAAAAATTCTCTTAATATCAAATTATAAACAACTTAGTAAGCAGGCAAGCATAAAACTCAGAAGAACTAGAGTTTTGCATATGAGAGAAACAAATAAAACCATACTTGCTAATCTAAAATTTTTCGAAAGTCATATAATTTCTCCTAAAGATTTATTGCGCAGTTCCACTTTTCATTCAATAATACCAATCGTTTATGATCTGATTGGCCGACATTATTCACAAATAACACTCAATCTCTTTTAACAGTTTTAGCTAGGTAAATGTTGATGTAGATGACACAGTTCCTTTTTTTTTTTTACTTTTTTATTTATGCATCAGATAATATTTTGAAAATGAACAGATAAGTACGGCAAAAAAGTGTCCAAATCCGAGTAAATAAATATTAAAGTAAATTCACTAAAATCAAATGTTCCAGTTTGATGCAAGTCTAGTTGTGACATGTAAATAAGCTCATTGATGCTATAGAGTTTCTCACGAAAAAACAAAATGACAAAAATACTGCCGGTCAGTTTATAGCATTTAGTGAGTTTCAACAATTTCTTTCTGGTATGTTGTAGAAAATGTTTATAAATATTATTCAGACTTTAAAATCGCTCTGTAATTTGTCTTGAAACATATTAAAATGAGTTTCCGAGTTTTTCATATTTTTTGAAATGCTGTTTAAAAACCTTAATTTCTCGATATTTATAGTTTGTGTCGCAATCTGTGTTAGCTCTTGCTACAAAAATTATTCATTTCCACTAACATTATTTATCTCGAACGAAACTTAGAAAGAACATGCAACTCGATGTATTTTTGCGAACGAAAAATTTATAAAAATATGAAACACATCACTTTACACCCTCGGACAAGTCTTTTTCTCTTGTCTTTTTCATGCTGTCATAGATTGCATCAAGTTTATTACTGAGTAAAGATCAGACTTTAGAGTTTTATTACAGTGTGATCTATAAACCAAAATGAAATAAAACTCTCATGTCATATCTCTACTCGGTAATAAATTTAATGGAAAGTTTGACAGCATAAAAGGACAAAGAGGAGAAAGATTTTTTTCCGGGGCGTATATTTTATAAGAAATCTATGCATGACTTTTTTATATATTCAATTTCTAAGGAAGAGTAAAAGAACCGATTTTAAAATGAAATATTTAATATAAAACCTGAAGTTGACGTACGTTTGCTATTTATTTATCTATTCAAAACTTGANATGTGAATTTGATATAAATCATATAATTGAATTATTTATTGATTGTGATAGAAAAAAAATACGTTTAACAAATGAAACAACATCATTAACACATGAAATTGGCATATCTCCTATTAAATGTCCATTTCCATGGGTACTTTATCTTGGTCTTTATGGTTCAGGCGATCAAGTTCGTCTTTTATTTGCTTGAATTTCTATTGACAAAATGAAATAAAATAAAATCGATTCTTCGTTTTTTTTTTTGCATTTTATGTAAAGTTTTTCATCAAATGTATTTTAAAAAGAAAACAGAATATGAAATAAATATTATTAATAAAATAAAAAGTAATATTTAATTATTTTGATATTTTTATTTAATTATTTTCTTTTCTTCCTATACTCGTTTCTAAATATATTCTGAAATTGTTTCTTTCGAATGTACTCTGCAAGCTTCTCATGATTTTCTTGTCGACATGCAGAAACACTTAACCTTATCTCTTAAAGATGAGTTTTACTTGTCTTTCAGTATTTACTGTCAGATTAATTAGTGAACGAAAATAAAATGATTCTATCTCTCTTTGACAATAATTCTTCTCTATATTATCATCAGAAAAACATAATTAGTGGTAGACGAAAAAAAACAAAGATTTCTATTAAGAAAATTATTTCTTTTTTTAGATATATAATTATGCTGTAACTTCAGACTAATGATGAAGATAATATTAATTCAAAGAAAATATAGATATTTTATCTAATGCTACAAAGAAAAAAAGGATACTAATGAAGGAAGCACATGTCATAATAGAAATGAGAATGTCATTCAATACTTCATAAGCAGATATGTAAGTCGATCGGCTAAACTGATGCTACCAACGCTTCAGTCTCGCCGCCGCTGAGATATACAAATTGATACTAGATTTTTGAAAAATTTATAACATCAAATATTAATGTTCAGGAATCTTCTCGTCTATTGTCTTATCATTACATTCTCTACCAACATTTTCGCTTTCTTTTTATGTCAAAATCCTCAGAACCAAGGAAATTTTCATAAGAAAAAAAAGCATCAAAAACTTTATTCTGTGCCACTCATCATTTAGTGAAACAAATTCTGAGGTATTACTTCGTGTAAATTATTCATCATTTTCTTCTTTAAGTTAATATAGAAAGATAGAGCAACAGGAGATATATAATATCACACTGCAAAAAATCTTATTCTATTAGTAGACGGTATAAATAAATATCTTATTTGGATTTCAGATAATTGAAAATTCGATCTATTTTCAGGATTATGAAATATGTCATTACCATATTTTGAATTTAATGCACGACCATGATCAATAGAATGAAGATATAGATCAAAAGTCGTCATCCGAATATTATCAAAATGAAAATCATTGTAAACGCTTTTGAAATCACACTATAGAGTAATCTGTTTAACTCAGCGATACATTCACAAAATGTGATCATGAAATACAGCATATCGTTTTTGCTATGTGGTTTCGAATTTCGCACTTGGTATTTGTTTTTCTCTACTACGTCGAAGATAAAAATAATGTTAAATAAATCGGAGAAATCAAATCAATCAAGAAAACAAAAATTCAAAAGAAATTGTGGATACGATAATCAAATTAGTAGTACAATATTGTCTACATTCGAAATTGTACTAACTATTAGAGATATGAAAAATATTTTACTAAGATCATAAAATTTATTATAAAATAATTACGCAAGTAGAAAAAACTATGTAAGAAATAGAAAAGAAAATTATTTTACTTTACTAACAAAACAATCCTCGAATAATTTGATATAAAACATAGAAAGTTATTAAACTGTATCTATCGAAAGAAAAACATCGATGAGAATTATTTCGAGTTGTAGTAGTAAGAGTGGATGTGGGTATGGATGTTGTTGAGATTGTCGAACTACTACTACTAATCGTTGTTTTGATATTGTAGAACTACTACTAGTAGTAGTTGTTTTGATTTGAGAAGTTGTAGTTGTTGTTGATGTACTTGTAGTAGTAGTTGGAATAAGAGAACTACATTGATCAATTTCAATATCATCGAATGCAACAGACACTGGTACTGATTCATGTTGATTGACAGTAAAATAAAATGTCTCTGCACAAGCATCTTTTGATACAGGTGCAATAACTGTCTGCCAACCTTGACTATCATCTAATGTTATATACCATAATACAGTAGCATAACATCCACCAGGACTCAAATATAGATCAGTTCCATTCTTGTTAACTGCTAATGATTTGACATAATAAGCAAATTTCACACACATACCAAAATTTTGTTCAATTGTTTTCAATGGATATATCTTGCCAAAATCTAATGCAGCATATGGTAATGTTCGATTCCAATATAGAAAGCCACCTGATGATGAATTAGTGGTATGATCTCGAGTTGGACCAAGTTCTGGATTAGGTATTGTATCACCCGTAAACACGGTAAAATTAAATGTCGGTGAAGAAAATCTATCTTCATTAGTCATATCACACATGGTCAAATTATCAAAATTACACGAGAAAGAAAGTAGAGAGTTGTACGGACTAAGCTCAGTTGAAGGATAATCACATGAAATAATAGAAATATTATCAAGAGCAAATGAACGTGGACCAATATCTGCACTATCCACACGAAAGAGAAGTGAATAATAACCAATTGGTAGATTGATAATACCCCATGTCCTAATATAGAAAATATTATTGAATGAAACTTAATAGTTAATTTTAAGCCTCAATAAAAAAAGAGAATATAATTATTCAATAAAATTCATATGGTAGAAAATTGAATATTATGTGTTTCAATTGAATACAATCAAATTGGGATCTAACTTTTGTTCAATTACTTCTATTTTCAATACATTAGTTGCATTAATTTAGAAGCAGAAGATATATGAAAACTTATTCTCTGTAAAAATTTCAAATGTCTAATGACGAATCTGAGTTGAACAGTTTTCAAACTTAAAAAACATCTTTCAATCTGTTCGTAATTTTCATCCAAACAAAAATGTCTTGTGAATGCACTTGTACTGAGACCATTAACAAGGGAAAACTCTCAAGAGTGAATTGTCAGTTGAGCACATTTTTCGCTCATATGTAGATCTCGTCAAGACTAGAAGAGACGTAAAAGAATTTATCTTCATACGAAATTCTTCTGAAGTTGTAGCTATTTTATTGGCTTCTCAACTTCCGGTCAGATATTAGCTGAAAAATTGAATGAAATAATATGGCACTAGAAACTTTGCCTTGAAAAAGGTAGCACAGCTAGTAAATTGTCTAAAATGTTTCAGTCAATATGGATGATGCCTTCTAAAACTACAAAACGCTAAAAAAAATTGATTTTTTTGGTCTTGCTATAAAAAATGATATTTTCTTTCATTCAATATCTCTAGAATGAATCAACCATGTTAGCTTAAACTTTTGGCATGCTTTACTCGCTCTAAGTCGAGTTTATAGGGTAAGTTTTGCATGCATATATCGTCATTGAATTTTTTAGCTAATACTTAACCAGCCATTTACAAGCTAGTAAAACAGCTATAACTTTAGAAAGATTCCGTATAGAAACAAATCTTTCCTAGAGTTCATCTAGTCTCAATGAGCTCTGCATGTGAACAAAAGATACGTTCCCTTGTAAGATACAATGATGTTATGAAAAAAAAACAGTTCAGAAACTATACAATGCATTTTTATTATTCAGTATCAGTTACCTCAGTTTTTATTTTATTTAGATTTTCTCTTCCTCAGAAGCAATTTAAAATTTCGGGAGCTTAGACACATAATATGCGTAACAATAACGGTAAACTTCAAAAAGACCAGAGCAATTTTTGGAGCAACGTCATCCTTTTGGTTACACGCAGGATAAAACCATTAGGTTATTTTCTTTTAAAATTATGAAATTGTCTGTATTGATGATTTTCATAGTCGATGCATTCTTACTTTAGATTTTCTAATATGTCGTCTATACTTACCACTTATTGTTTGTATATCTACAATTAAGGAAAATAAATTATTATACTATTTGTTCTTTGTACATTATTTACGAGTATTTCATAGAGCTTTGTTTTGGCCACAATATTTGAACTGTTTCAGATTGATCTAAGTTCCATAAATACACGTTTAAATGACTTATATAAAATGGTCCGTAACTATAATATTGAAAATTTAAACAATAAGATTCTTTAGAAGTAATTCGAAATTCTTTTTGTAAATGAAGATAACCAACATTGCCCCGTTCAATTATTTTAGAATTAGGTAATAATGAATAATGTCCTGATTTATTACCAAATGTATAATCAACGGATGGAGCTTCATGCTCAATTTTAATAGCATCATATGCTGTTAAGATTGACCATTGATATGGATATGTCGGTAATGAAAAGAAATCATTTGAACAAGAAGATTCAAAATCACATTCATATAAAACTTTCGGAGGTACAGGATGTGGTTCATCACAATAATCGACAGAAATATCATCAAATGCTAAAGGACCATTTGTCATGTTTGTTCGTATAAATATTTTTAATTTTCTCATTTGGTAATGTTACGTTGATGAATGCCCAATCGTTGATTAAAGGATCTTTACCTGTAATTACAGCTGCAATGCGTATTAATTGTTCATCATCACCTTGTACAAATTGAATATTGAATGGAAAATAATAACGAGGAGTATAATACCACATTCGAAAGCGTACAGCTCGATCAGTTGAAGGTTGCAACCACTCAACTGTTTTTATTTCAGCCATTTGAAAATATGGAGAACTTTGTCGATAGTAGAAAAGATAATGACCAGTACTTGTGTTTTGCGTATGATCATGATCGATAGGTCTAGGATGAAGACCATCTGTCAAACCCCAGTTGTCATCACTAACAAAATCATTACAGAATGTTTCATAATCACATTGAAGAATAGCTGCTTGACTTAGACATATGTTACAAAGAAAAATAAATAAAAATGACAACATTTTAAAGACTATCTATGGTTTGTTACTTTGTTCTTTATATGGATAATCATAGTTGGAATATTACATGAATGTTATGCAAGAACACACGTTGACAAATATGATGACGGTAAAATTGAAAGATAAGAATAGTAAATTTTACCTACGGTACCTTTTTGTTTTGTATGACGTTACTTATGTTTAGTGTATTTTCTGATGGAAATAAGAAAAATCACGAAATAGAAAAATGTATAATAATTAAACGAAAACTTATCATGATTTTCTAGTTTGAAAACACTATTAGAAAGAGCATTCAAAAGTAACCAGAACTATGCATTTTTTTTTATTCAGCAATAACTCGCTATAATATGGTTTCTTAACCATTGTTGTAGAATTTAAATTAACAGCATGTTAATAACGAGTGCCTCAAGAATAATGGGCCTCTCTATATTTTAATAATACATCTTTTAATATCCATTTCTTCATGTCTTATTGTTTTTCAAAAGATTCGTCTTTTAATTGTTTACAAAACAGTATAATTCTTTTTAAGGTACAAGAAATTAGTAATTCTATAAGACACACGTTAAACATACGGACAAACGTGAACAATTTTGTACAAAAGTTTTCATTGGATTATTTTGATTGTGTCATACAGTTTTTATATCACAGCTCCCCTCAACGTAATCGATGAAATATACAAATTCGTCTGAGATTGTATAGTTCGATGTGTTTAAATATAGATTATTCGGCAGTCGATAGTTCTTGATGACGAAAGAGAAAACGTTCTCTTGACATTACTATTATGTGAGATGATGAATCTGTAGGTTCACGATACCTCCTGTTGAAATATCTGATTTATTCTAAAAATTTCATTTATATATTTCATCAGTACTGCAATATCATTCTGATTCTTTCATGTGCTATTTAATGTATCCAGATCGAAAATTACCATTGACATTAGATCGAACATTTCAGCAGACAGTAATGCGAATCTTCACATCCAACAATTCATGCAGCAATGGTTCCAAGGCTGCTTCTTCTATTTTGTCGTAAAGAAACGTTCACTACCGAATAGTCTACATGTAAATACATTAGACTATGCATTTCAGATGAATTTGTAGATTGCATCAATTAGGTTGAAAGAAGCTGTCATACCAAAATCGTATGATACCATCAAAATAATTCGATAAAAAATTTTTTACAAAATTGTTCATATTTGTCTATATGTTTGACGTGTGTCGTGTGAAATTACCAATGTTTTTACATTAAAAAGAATTATACTGTTTTGTAGAGAATTAAAAAACGAATATTTGAAAAAGAAAACAAAATAAAGCTAGAAGAAATAGATATTAAAAGAGATATAATTAAAATACAGAAAAGCCTATTATTCCTGGGTAACTCATTAGTTTGACGTAACGTGTCCAACAATGATCTGTAGTTAAAGATAAAATGTCACGTGATACCTAAAATTAGCAGATCCAGTTTATTCTTTAGGAACAACTCGGGATACATATAATAGTATGATACCGATCTAAGTTGTAATCTATGTCTGTGGTAAACTATTCAAATTCAATATATGACGAACAATGTTTATATCATACTACTAAACATGCATTCTATCTATTGTGAGGGAAATCATTCAACTGCGATACTAATCGAACCGAACAGTACATGCACATATATACCCCTTCATTGTCTGTTCGAGCACGATTTGAATCATTTTGAAAACTAATCAAGTCTGATAGAAAGCCATAGTTCGGGCTTCATGTTAGTCGTGTATTCCATTAAAAGTATGCAGCACTGAAACTTTCGTTATTATTGTCATTGCCATAACCTCTTATCTCTGGCATGAATACTCTTCCACCGGTTTGATTTCCGACGATGAAAATGATTAAATCGGTTCACATGACACTTATAGTTTCTCTTTCTCTTACCAAAGGAAAGAATAAAATTTCTTGAACGAGCATGCACGTAGTGAACAGTCTCATCAGAGACAAACCCAATCAACAAACGTGTGTGGCATTGAAATTTAACTTATCGCTGAAGAACAGTTAATTTTATGATTCAGTATGTCAACAGTATGCCATCTGCTCTGGAATTCTTATTAAAAAAGTAATAAATCTCAACTATGACTAGGTCAATAACAATATAGCAGCAACTTTACATATTTCATTCAGTTACAGTTCTGTTTGCTGATAATCAACTTCTCGGACTTCATTCATTCTTTTACTCGTTCAATTGAAACAAATGCCCGTACTGTTCAGACATCGTCGAGTGGTACGGAATCGTCGTCGAACATTTCATTACTTCACTTTGAGGAGTGTCTTCAAGTTTTTTGGTTCACTGCTTTTACCTTTGGTGCTAGGAACTTTTACTGTAGTTATCACATTTGATCAAAGAAACGAAGCTCGAATTCAACGTCATGAAGATCGTCAAATAGCTGGAGTGCAACGTGAGTTCGATCAGAATAATTCCGCTGCCCAACGTGAACTCGACAAGGTTATTGCCCAGCAGCAAAGGCAACACGATAAAGAGATTGCCGAGACGAAACGACTAGCTGACGATCTCAATGCTGAAAAACAACGGAATATATCCCAGGAACAGCGACTTTTCGAACTCGATATTGAAATTCAACGTCATCGTGATACAATTCTAGCTAATTTTATTGCCGAGGCGGATTTTGCCATGCAGAAGAATAATAGTACGTTAGCTAATGCTGTTTTGAGAGCCAAAGCGTTGGTTGTCATTCGACAGCTTGATCCTACACGTAATACGCATCTCATTCGATTTTTGTACGAAAGCGGTCAGCTAATTAATGGAAAACAACCGCTCGATCTATCTGATGCCGAACTGAATGGAATCGATCTAAGCTCGTCAATGGCAAGAAAAAAGATGCGCGGACTTTATTTAGCTGGAACTTCACTCATCAACAGTACGTTTGCCAATCGAGATTTAACAGGAGCAAACTTCAGTAGGACAATCTTGAACGGATCAGATTTTAGAAATACGATTTTGTTCTCTGCTGATTTATCCGGAGCCATTTTCGATAGGACGTCATGCTTCGATAAAAGTAACTTGAAAGATAGCAATTTTAGTCAGGCTCTGATATCCGAAGTCAACTTCAATCAAGCGGTTTCCCTTCGAGGCATCAATTTTTCCTACACCACTATTGTCGGTAGTAACTTTTCGACATGCGACCTTCAAATGACAAGATTCCAACATTCTTCGATTGCATTAACCGACTTCACGAGTGCCAATTTGAATAGTTCAAAATTTGATAATGCTATATTTCACAATGCTATTTTTGCGAACATCAGCGCAAATAGCGCCAGTTTTTATATGTGCAAATTGCCGAATGCTGTTTTCGCACGATGCCAATGTGATTTTGCAAAATTTGATTCAGCTCTACTGGATAATGCGGATTTCTCTTTCGCTTTTATTAGTTTAACTAGTTGGAATGGAACACATCTCGATGGGGCATCGTTCTATGGTGTGATATCGACATGGAGCCGAATCACATATGCAAGCATGGTACGAGTCAACTTCACCTATGCACAATTTCAAAAAATGTCGATACATTTTTTAAATACTAATCTCCATGCAGCCATTTTCCGGCACACTCAACTTTACCAGGCACAATTTCGTTCATGCAAATTAACAGGAGCTGATTTTGAAGCGAGTAACCTGACAAAAGCTCGTTTTACTTATAACGATTTGACATTCGTCAATTTTGTCGATGCCATCTTAATTGGAACTGTCTTCGAGATGAACAATTTATCATATGCCAACTTGAGAAATATGTCAGTTAGTGACACAATCTTTCACTCTTCTCTTTCCATCTACAATGCAATTCTGCCAAACAATACAAAAGGTCCACCCAACGTCCCTCTTCTTCGAAATAGGCATGCTGAATGTAACGTTTCGCTCACTGATGATTGGACTATAGATTACGGCACGGCTGTCATTCGTCCATTGGATCATAACAGTTCAACAAATTGTTATTTCATACCGACTAACATATCGTGGATAGCTTCTCTGAGTCAACGAGTTAACATTAGTCGATATTTGACGATGGTCAGAGACAATGTAGCAATAGCATTATTACACGGCCGTGTTAATAATGCAGATCTGGTTGTGTATGCTTTAGATGTACAGAATATAATTTTACAAACGAAGACTGCTCTGCAGTACAGCGCAAATTTGGTATTGACCAAGCTACCCCTTCATCGTAACACGGTGGAACTCAAATTAAGTATTTCATTCCAACGATCGAGCTCTCCAAGTCGCTGGTGTGACTACGTTGATCTGAGCATCGATCTCGACACTCCTTGATACTTGCGTCACACATAGTTTCGATTTCCATTAGTTAAAATACAAAATGATGCAAAAGTCACCCGCCATGCTTGAACTACTAATAAATCTTCATCACTGTTATTCATTTAAAATTTACTATTCGTTATTTAACAAATACTTACGAACAAAGCCAGCTGAACGACGTCCAGTGAATCTTTGTTGAGCGGAGTATGGGTATATGCAAAGAGAAGAACTACGATCACACCCATATTCACAACAAATATTTTTTTTTGTTTTTCCGGATTCATTCTATATGGTTTGGAATTAACTGGATTGTTATTGACTGTAGGTAGTGTGTGATGTGCATATACATTTGCAATTTTTAGTTTAGATGTATCAAATAATGAATTATATTGATAGAGGATACGTAATAATGATTGTCTTTGTTCACGATTAAGATAAGATGTCATTTCATCAATTTGTTTTTTTACTTGAATGGACATCTTCTTATCTTCTTTGTCATTGAGTTGTTGTTATCATCATGAAGATGACGATGTGCATGCTGAAATTGAAAAATTATTTTGAGGAAGGTGACTGAATTTGAATTATTCCAATTGAAATATTTTTATTAATTATGCTAGGTCAGTTTGAAATATTTCTAATTGCCATTAGTGCTTTATACTTTTTCACATTAATTAATGCATTTAGCATCAATATTGAATCTTGATATTAAGAATGAAGTGTTGAAATAACATGCGCTATGTCAAAACTAGGTAATCAGTAATTTTAACTTGAATTATACTTTCTTTCATTGGATTCAATGTGAATTCATCGTATATACAAAAATGATGCTGTAGATTAATATCAATTTCTAATAAAAGATAAGTTCTTTTTTTTCCATTAAACGAAATAGAAAGTGAATCTATTCGAAGTCAATAGTATTTTTGTGAAAGGCAGATGCAAGTGAATCAAGATCTAATATAATACCAGTGCAAAGATCTTCTAAAACTCATACTATTGCTATTGCTAGAATGGAGCCAATTCCGACTTTTAATTCCACATATCTTTCAGAATAGATTAGAGTGTTGTTGTCTACTTTAATTTATCTATTTTCAAATATGAATAACTAAAAAAATTCTGAAATTCATTATCCAACATGTATTTCCTAATAAATGAATGCGATGCAACGATGTCGACTAAGATTGTAAATACTCCACCTGTGACTAATGATTTAATATATAATGATTGTGACGTATGTTGCCTAAAGACACAACCATGATCTTGTGTATCCGCTAATATTCTTTTGAATTATCATTTGTTGTTGTTGCTGAATATGACCTTGTTGGTGTTGCGTGACTTGATGGACGGTGATTTCAAAGTTTGTCAGACTTGTTTTATGATTGATAAACTTGATTCGTTCGATAATTTTGTCGTTTATTTGATTGCTGTTGTTGATACTGATACAGATAATTATTTTGACAACGATAATGATAATAATTATTATAATGTGATGACAATGCGTAACAATTAATATTATCTTCCAATGATTGATTGATGGTTGATGAAGAAAATGGCGATTCGATTTGATCTTTATTGTTATTTCCAACGTCATGAATTGCTTCAGTGTTTTCAATTATTTTCACTGTATTTTTTAGTTCGCGCATGAATAATGGTTGTTTATCAAGGACTTTTTCTTTCAATCATACTTTGAGATCAGCTTTGATGTGTAACATTTTCTCTTGTTCCATCATAGAAGGATTTATTTGAAAACAAAGCTTTACCATGACATCAATAAATTGTTGACCGATTTTCTTGGGTTGTTGTTTTCGTTTTCGAAGATGGCTAAATTTCTGCTCTTTATGTCAGGATGATTTGAATCGATGCTGGAACTCCATTTTAAAGGTTAGCCATGATAAGAACTGATGTTTTTATTCGAACCAGTTTTTGGCATCGTTTGGTGGTAATTCAATATGTATTTTGAGTGTGAAATTGAAAAATTGTCTTAAAATTGACCTGAGTAAATGTTTAGAAATAAGTTTTTAAAAAATCTAAAAAAACCAAAATTTTAAGCTTTGAATTGTTTTTTATTTAACAGTTTAATTTTTAAAAAATCATTGAACTTAGGTTAATCAGTTTTAGGATTTGGGTTTTACGTTCGTAAATAAGAAGACACATTCAAGGCTGTGATATCGACCTCTTGGAACTTCACCTATATTCGAACTTGTAATACCAAAACTACGTAAAGTGAAAAATCTCTCGCAGACTGCAGTTGTTTTTTCACGATAATCGAATATCAGTGTAAGAACCTTTCTAATTTCTGCATTTCGAACAGAAGTTTTTTTGATTTTTTTTTCGTGGACCTTGTTTTTTATTTGTATTGTTGCTATTCGCTCATTATTTCTCATTTTTTTAAATTCATGTTGTTTAAATTTAACATTCTTATTATTATAATCATTGAATTAATCGGCAAATAAGTATATTTTACATATTCATGATATCTATAGCAGATCTTACGCACTATTATATTAATCAACTCACAAATAATGATATTGATTATATTTCAAAACTATAACTTGATCAATTTTGCAAAAACACTAGGAAATCTGACACCTATTATTCTCGATTGCTAAGGTCTAAAATGAGCGGAGAAGTCACGAAAACGTGATCTTAAAGCTAATACTCACTATTTTGTGGAACTCACATATATTTTCGAAGAGAATAGTGAGTGTAAGTTTGAGAGTGAGTTTTTGCTGCTCCCATCCCGTCCATTACAGACCTTATCAATCGAGAATAGTAGAAGTCAGATTTTCAATGGCTTTTTTTTGTAAATTGATCAAGTTATAATTTTGAAAAATAGTGAACATCATTATTTGTAAGTTGATTAATATATATGATAGTGTGTAAGATCTGCTGTAGATATCATGAATATGTAAAACAGACTTATTTGTCAATTATTTCAATGATTCTAATAATAAAAGTATTAAATTAACAAAAAACGAATTAAAAAAATGAATAATAATGAGCGGATAGAAACAATAAAAACAAAAATGGAGCGCTCCTAAAAAAATTAAAAAATCCCCTTCGAAATGCAGAAATTAGAGAGGTTCTTATTTCAGTGATTGATTATCCTGCAAAACAATTATAATCTACTAGAGATTTTTCACTTCACATGTTATGTATTAGTTTAACGAGCCTAGAGAGCATATCTGAGCTCCACATTTCAGTCCCAAAGGGTCTGCGCGAACAAGCTTTCTTTTATGTAGGGTGACCTTCAACACTAGTTAAAGACGATTTAAGTCTGACAACCAGAAAGTACACGAATTATGTCGATTTTTTTAATCTGCGTTTTGATCTGAGTATTGGTACATAGGCAAAATAAATACGGAAGAAAACACACAAAATATGATCATTATATTAATGAGGATCAATGATCATAATATTTATTTTCTAAAGAATAAAGATATCAAAAGATGAAACCGGTCACACCTATCTCGTATCAGATCAGTATAAGTTAATGACAACAAGGATTCATTTACCCAAAGCGTTGATAGAATACAGAAAATGCCATTGATGAGATAGTGTTTTTTTTACATTTGACACTTGTTCTTTTATAGTAGAGCAATAATACGTCAATGAAAAATGGAGGATTTAGTTTTTTTTTCCATTGTTATAGTAATAGAGTACAAGTAGAGTTAAGAAAAGAAATCAATAAATTTTTCTTTCACGATTCATAAAATTATTTATAAATACAAAAAAAACATTCATATTAATTTTGGTGATTTTATTTAAAAAGTTGTTAGCGCAATCCCTTGCGGGATTAAAAATGTGAGACACGATGGCTCTATTATTACTAATTAAATGGAAATCCTTTTCTTCCATTACGTTGCGATACATTTGTAGCTAACCGTTACTCTGATGCTATACTACTACAGTTTTTCTGTCACGGTCTGTGATGGGTACCTGAATTCTCTGTCACGGTCTGTGACGGGTACCGGGGTTCTTTGTCACGGTCTGTGATGGGTACCTGGATTCTCTGTCACGGTTTATGATGGGGGAATTACCTGTCTGTAACGATCTGCGATGGGGGAATTACCTGTCTGTAACGGTCTGTGACGGGGGAATTACCTGTCTGTAACGATCTGCGATGGGGGAATTACCTGTCTGTAACGGTCTGTGATTGGGGAATCACCTGTCTGTAACGGTCTGTGACGGGGGAATTACCTGTCTGTAACGGTCTGTGGGGGGGGGGGGGGCCAAATTTCTACCCCTAAACACTTCAACACCCCTTTCAGATCGTGTTTCACAAAAAGAAATACTTCGTAAAAAGAATCCTCTGCCTATTGTAAACTAATGCCAACTTGTAAAGGTGTTTTTGATTGGTTGAAATTGATACCGAATACAAATAAATATTAGATAAGGGAACACTTGATGATTCATCCTTCTTCTCATTCATTTTTGCGTAGTACGATCAAATATGACAGAAGACGTGACTCCGACCCCAGTCGCTACAACTTCTATTGATCAACCAATAGGTGAAATTGTTGAAAATTGGACACCTCGTCTTCACCCTCTTGCTAATCCACAATATCATACACTTCAAGGTCAGTACTGCCGACTTGAATTACTTAATTCAAAAACTAATAATAACACTATTTAACAACTTTATGATGCATTTAAACAAACGGAAGAAACTCATTTTACTTATTTACCATACGGACCATTTAAAACAATTGATGAATTTAAAGAACTCATAAATTTGAAAGAATTATCAAGTAGTAATACTATTCTCTATAGTATTCAGGTTAATGATATTGCCGTTGGATTCAATGCTCTTGCATGCATCAATCAAGAACATGGTACCATTGAAATAGGACATGAAAATTTTAGTGCACAATTATTACGGACTCGTTCAGCTACAGAAGCAAATTACTTATTGTTACACTATGCATTTGATATATTAGGTTACAGAAGAGTACAATGGAGATGTAATGCATTGAATGTCAAATCTTGGAGAGCAGCATTACGATTGGGTTTTCAATACGAAGGTACATGGATCAAAGCAGAAGTTTGTAATGGTCGATCGAGAGATAATGCATGGTTTAGTATTATCGATGATGAATGGGTACAGTTAAAACAAGAATTTCAACGTTGGTTGAATTCAGAGAATTTCGATAGCAATGGACAACAATTAACAAAACTTAATGCAGCACAAATCAATCCACGTAGTAATGAAAAAATGGATAAGACTAGTAGAATATAAATGAATGGTTTTCACATCCTTTGTGATTATATTCTTTTTTTGATAATGTAATTAGATGCCAATACTAAATAAAAATTCTAATTTCATTTTCATCAAAAGGTTTTATAGTTAAAATAAACAGTTATTGTAAAGTATTCAAAAGATATGACAGACATGTATATTTTTCTAAAGATGCTGATAACACTAGATTACCCAAACATGAATGGATTCCATATGATCATATTTACATTTATTGACTGTTCGTTAGATTTCCCAGTTAAACTCGAAAGCTTTTGAAAAGCTCGTGCATTTGTAGGAAACTTTTAGAAACTCGCGTTTTCTTTGCAAAATATTTTTCAACTCGTTGTATGTTTTTCATGAAAATGCAAACCATTTCAAAAATTTGTAATGACTGCGCATAAATGCAAAATAATAGCTTATGAATAGATTCTTATCTTTATAAATAGTAGCATGTAAAACTCAATGAAATCCCTCTCATGTATTCATACGCTATTGGCTCTACAATCTTCTTCAAGCTTTCGAATTCACCTATAGTAATTAGTAATATTCATGTTCACACGTGCCTAGTAGTTATCAGATGATTATTTTATGCTTCGATTTTGAATGTGCTTTGCTTTTTGACTATTTTAAAATTGTCTTTGCATGTAAACGCGAATATAGTAGTTTACTTTGTGCCGTATTCCCATGCATGTCATGCCATAACGATTCATGTATGCACATTCATTTCGTAAGCTTCATATTTGCCCAGATTATTACAATAGTCCTTTTGAATCGAAGAGTAAGAAATCGGACATGAATTTTGAAAGCTAGAATACATAATACTATTAAGAATTGTTCTTTTATCTTATGTAATTGGCTTATTATCGTAGTTAGTTATTAGATTGATGTCCTATCGTTATTTTTATAGTTAGTATTTAGAAAATTATGATTTTGAGTATAATTCTTTCAAAAATAGATTTTCTATGGATAGAATTTATTTACAATCTTCATTTTTCTATTAATAAAATTTATAATGATCTTTTCAAACATAGTCTTATTTTATTGACTAAATGACGTCTCAATTGATGATTGTATATAAACAAATCAATAATAATACCCATCAAACATAGTTCTCCGATAATGATTGAAAGCGGGAAAATGAGAGGATGAAGTTTAACTACCAATCTTAAACATGATATTGTATAAACAGGACCCCATCCAATAATAAACAGAAAAGACATGATAATTATATGTAATAATAAACGAGTATCTCGACGTCTATTCTTTGTTAATCTTCGTCGATTATTTTGAATTGGTCTACGTTTAATACTTGCTGCATTCCGACGCGAAGACGATCGAACATATAAAAAAATATAAAAATTTAGAGTAACATTGACAATCAAAGGTAATAATACAGCCATAATCCATGTATAAATTGTCATTAGAGAAGCACCAGTACAATACTATAATGATAAAGGTTATTAGAAAACGACTCGAAACTTGTCTGAAACACGAATCATTGTTTGTTCTCATTCTAAAAAATTTCTACTAGTGACGAGATCGATTTATACATTTTTTAGAATCGAACTGAATCAATACTTATAATTAGCTCCTACCCTATAAAAAAAATCGCATGACATTTTTAAAATATGTTGGAGGTATAGTGGAGAGGCTATGCGAAAATTTTCAGCCCTAGATCATGATGCTTTCGGAAAATACTCAACAAACAAGAGTCAAAAGTAGCGCATATGGTAACTTAGAGCCCTTTGTTTTTTAAATTCTTACTTTCTAAACGAAGAAAATGGATGACAAGTTCAACTCCTCGAAAAACTCAAAAAAATGAGAATCTATTTATAGAAGTGCTTTTTTCTATGATGATAACCAAGATTATTTAAAAGCACGAGCTCTTGGAGGTATTGTAGCTGTACACACTCTTTCAAACAAAAATAGATTAAATGTATAGAATCAAGATCCACAGAAAAGTCAGAGATGCGCGATCAAAACGAGCATAAAACAGAAAAAATGAAAAATATTATTTTGAACAGTAGTTTTAAGATAGTTTAGTATTGTTTCGGTAAATCTGAATTGTGTACTGTATATAAATAGGCCTTTTTAAATGCTTATCTAACTTTAATAAATAAATAGTTTTATTTTCTAAAACATAATCACGAAAAATTCGGTCGAAAATATTCTAGTACAATAAACTGTTTGTTGCTTCAACTCTTATCATAAACATTTTGGTACCGTTAAGAGAACTAAAGCAGTAGTCGTGATCTCTAAATGAACATAATAGAGACAAAGAAGAAGGACAAAAATAATGTGGAAAGACCCAAAATAATGGGTGCACCATAATGAATGGTCGCGCTTTGTATCTTGCGCTGTCATCATCTAATACGTTTTATTAAAAAACGAAATATGCCACAAGATGCAGCGTGAAAACTTCCACAATTTACATAAGGTCGATTATTTTATAGTTGCACTTTTGTTTACAAAATGGGCAACATTTTGAGTGATCAAATTTCGATCGTGCGAAAAAGATAATGTTTTTTTGATACGGGACGAATTCATTTTTTGTTTTTTCATCTTTTTATCTTCTACTTTGCTTTCTCAAAAGAAAGGCAAACTATAGCAGAAGATGCAGCATCAAAAGCTCCACAATTTACATAGGAAAACTTATTGTAATTACTTTCAAAAAAAGCAAAATTTTGTGTGACTAATTCCCGCACGGTTGAAATTTGGTCCCTCAAAATTTTGTCCATTTTGTAAATAATAACGCAATTATAAAATACTCGATCTTATGTAAATTGTAGAGCTTTTCACATTGCATCTTGAGGTATATTTTCTTTTTTAATAAAACGTATTAGATGATGAAAAAATAAGATACAAAACTCGGTCATTCATTATGCGGCATCCGTTAATTAAAAATTCCTTAAAAAATATCTCATTTTTTGATGCATAAGCTTTACTTTTCTTCTCATTTCATATTGACATATTTCATACGTCAATAACATTAAAATGATTTCCGCATAGAACGTAGTCATTTATTAACTTTGATATGACAATGAAAGCTCTATTATAAAACATTTCGTATGTTCATTCCTACCTGCCCTTTTCTAAGAATGAATGGTAATGAAATAATGAGTTCAGTTATCCATTGACTTGAAATACAAATTCTTATCCACTGTTTTGTTTTGAAAAATCGTTTTGTATGATAGACAATTGAAAAAAATCGATGAACAGATATAGCAACGAAGGAAAATGGTATTCCAATACTGGACATATTATATGCATATAATAAAAAATGACATCTATGTTCAGCAAATAGAAGATTTTGATCAAAGATATATAAGATAAAATAAATTATAAAATAAATACAAGTAAATGTTGCTGTTATACATATATTTAATGTTAATATATTATTTCGCTGATGAAAACGATTACCAAATAAAATTAATATTGAATAAAGAAGAGTAAAAAATAAAATTATTGTGAACATACCGATTTGAACAAGAGCAGCGATTTTCAATGTTTCCATCGTTAAAAAGAATAAGGAAATATCCAGAAATATTCTTGAGACTGTCACTTCCGACAAAAGCATATGTGAATTTGATGTCGTAATGTGTAAATATTCAAGATGTAAATTAGTAATTCATTGTTAAATCATTGCAATTGCACTGCTTATCTTGAAGAAAGAATACAACGCTTGTTCACTGATGAAGATTCAATAGAAAGCAAAAACAAAAAAAATGCTTGGTATATATTTCTAAAATATCCTCTATCTAAATAGCGTTTTCTATTTATTAAAAGGTTGATAAAATGAAGTAAGTCGTCTTTTTTGTCTTGCTCTAAATAACAATTTTATTTTTTATATTTCATCAAAAATTCTATATATCTAAAAAACAATCTGAGAAACTAAACAGAAAACGATAGTTTGAAAAAATGTCATCGAAGTTTTCTTCTAGTTTATCGATGATAATTTGTAATTGATAAGATGTTTCTTTTCTTTGAAATATTCGCTTGAAAACATGCATTATATGAGAAACAAACTTGATAATAAAAGAAATAATGAAAACAAAAGTCCGTTTTCAATAAGAATTGCAATACATGATGTTAGGGATCATATATAAAGGATACTCAGGTACAGTAAAGCCCATTGGATCCAAATTTTTCCAATCTGGACCCGACTGGGTTCCGTTTCCAGAACCAACCAACCCGACGGTCTCTAACTTCCAGTATAACATACTACTTCTTTTTCTTTATTCAATAACAGTTTATTAAATAAATGTATCAAAATTAGAAATGAATAAACATGTATCTCATAAATAACAAACAAAAATACAATCTATTCCAAAGTTTTTGTTTTTTAAATACATTCGATTTTAATGAACAGAAGAAGTAAAAAAACAAAAAATGAAGTTCAATACCAACAGCACTAGAAAATCTCATATTAACTTCTGTATAAAATAACTATCTGCTCATATAGTATAATATTGAGTTATTTCAACATCGTATTCATACTCAACTGAAAATGCTCTTTAAAACAAACTAATCTTGAAGATTTCGCCAAAATTCTTGTGAAAGAAAAAGAAAAATATTCACAGTAAGTATTTAGATGTCCTTGGTGGGCGACTTCCTTGTGACGGGTTAAGATTCATTAATTATTCATCTCTTTTTTCTTATTCTGTTCTGTTCTTTCTTTTCGCTTCTGGGTATATGATTAGATAGCTCTACTCTTGCAAATGTTCTCTTCAGTTTTCATTCCACAATGACATGAAAGAATAAATGATAAATATTAAACATTCTTTCATAATAGCATCTTTGAAGAACACATCAAAATTCATGACGTTTTCAATAGTTTATCACTCAAACTATTGATTGAAATATTCTATTGAAAACACTCCTTTTAAAATCATTGTTCAGAATATGATTAATATGATAATGTCATAATTATTATCGAATTCTAGTATTAATGCTTATGTTGATCAATCGATTAGTGACATTAGTTCACAATACTAGAAGCTATTTTGATTGTTTTCCGAATAAAAGAAATTATCGAACTAAATATCTTCACCCTCACATTAGAAGACTTCAAATATTCTATTATTTTCAAGTATCAAAATATTCCAGGGATATGGGAATATTAGTCTTTACCTATACTCTCTCTTTCTTTTTAATACGTGCACGTTTATTCATATTTGCGATTTCTGTTTTTTTTTGCTATATTCTTTCTGACGTTCATCGATTTTGATTAATACTATTCATTTCTTGTTAGTTGCCAGGCTTCATTCATTGCAATCACTTTTCTTACCCATTACCCGAAGTACGATTTGCTTAGTTTGAACTTTAAAAAAAATATACAATTGCTTGGATTCCGAGAAAATACGGACTGGTCTCATCTATGACTATGGATATTTCTTGACTATTTCAGTTGGTGTCTTCTTTCCAAGGAAGAAAAATGAGACTTCAAGAGTGCGTACTTCACTCGTACTTCAAAAAACTGAAGTCTCGCTTTTTCCTCTTGCCTACATCCACCCACACCCTTAATTTTGATCGACAATTCTGACTGTTCCTCGGTTCTCAAAGTCTATACAACATTGAATACTAAAAACAACAGAAAAAGAATATTTCACTTAATTTTAACCATTTATACGAACTAAACTTTTGTGCATATTATAACTTATAAAATCCTCTCTCTTTCTTCGATCATAGAATATTTTCTAGGTCCCTTATGCTTGTAGGATAAAAGCATGATGCATGTCACGTAGAAAAGAAGCAATTGTAGATAAAGAGGTTTATGAGAAATCATAGACCATCTATATCCAAAGTCTTTCAAAGAGGGAAATCAGATGACAAACTGTATAATTGCGTTTCGTTTTACAACAAATTATCGCTCTAAAAAGTTTCAATTACTGTTGCAGCTATGATCTTATAGTAAATTAGGTGTTCAACTTATTAGATTCATATTATCATATGGAACAACAAGGCTATTCATGGAGCTACGCGAACAATTTCAAAAGGTTTTGAACAACTCTGCAAGTACTGAATTTTACAATGTCGGTTGAAGTCTAACAGAATTTTCTGCTTTCTTTTGATGTATATTATTTCATTTCTTGTTGCTAAAAGTAAACTCAGGCTATTTGTCATAATTGTAAAAACCCCGTAACTTAAAGGCTAAGTTTTTTTTATAGTACTTACTATATTGATTAAATTTTGTGTCAATAATTGTTATATTGTAGCATCGAAAAACTCCTTGAAAGTAAAAGTTAATCACTAGAGATCAATATAAATGCATGAATACCTGATGTTAGAAAACTAAAACACCATGCTGAATTATTTTGCTCATTTATTTTCAGTTGATATACACTATTCTTTGATAGATGTTAACGTTTGTGCACGTTCATTGATTTGTTTCTGTTGTTCGAAAACTGTATGATCTTCTACTGTGATTAATTTTAACATAGATCCTGTTTGATTCTCTCTTTCTGCTCATTACTTGTTTATTGTAGTTTTTTCCGTGTTTCTATAAGATAGAGAGACTTTCAGTGGCGGAAAAAACGACAATTAGAAATTTTTTCAATTTTTTTTTAAACACAAATTTGTAATAAAACTATCTTTCATCCAAATAGTTACTCGTTCATCATGATGCAATTGATCAAACATGGGATAATTTGAGTATTGTAACCAAATCAATGCGTACGCTTCAGCAATAGCCACAAGACGAACTAGAGCAATTTATTCGGGAACGTCAAGCAACGACTGCGAAAGCAAGGGTGTGAGGGTGTACATTTCCCAAATAAATGAAAATTTTGAAAGGTTTAATTATGAGAAATAGACTATAGTATTTTTTGATTTCATAATCTAATATTCAAAGGACATCTTTCAAGATGAAATATGTTTCCAAGTTCATGTTCGTCTTTTAAGATAAATAGCAGCTGAAAGAGTAGTCACCTTCAACGGCTAAATATGAAATTATAAAAATGTTCTTCTCCTCTCACCCGAAAAGTTGAGCTCTTATTTCACTGAAGTGTGCATTTTCCGAGATTTAGTTTTTAACAGTTAATACTGCTTCAGAAAGCTACCGCCTTCGACGATATGCGCTTCTGAAACAACTACTGAACTGATAGTTCCAATAGATTGCGCCGCGCTTCAAAAATCACGTATAGAAAAGGTGATCGAAAACGATTTTTACACTTGTGGCGGAAAAATGCTTACAACCCCCTCCCCCCTTTCTCGATCATGGGTTTCGAGGTCAAGTACACTCCTGGTTGTCGTTAGGTCATTTTTCGTTGTGCACATCTCTGTGAAAACTGTTTAGGACACTTACACTCACCCTCCGATTCTAAACTCTTGGTACCACCACTTCTTAACAATCGAAGCGACTCTTGATTCATTAAGAAATGATATAAGATATGTCATAGCTGATAAATAACGACGTGTTATAATTTAGTTATTTTTGTGTGTTCTCTACAAACTTATACAGCTGATAAGATTCAAGCACAAACCATAAAACAACAAATCGATCGATTAGAACAAATGCTTAAAACAACAGAAGAACGTGTTCAGAATTTTTTTTTTCACTTTTAAAACAAATCTTTGTAAGGTTTTTTGTCCTAATATTGAAAAAACTGACATGATTGTAAAAATGATTCATGATTTTGAACAAGGTTTCGGAAAATTTTCGTTCTGGAATAGATAGCGTTGAAACAAATTTACAAAAATCTTTATCACAGAATACGTCGAATGCAACTGAATGACGTATTCATTAATAATCACTTGCTGTACGTAAGAATTTAAAAAAATGTGACCCAAAAAAAATGTTATTTTAAAATGTTAAGTAGTCGAAACTGATATTGAAAAATATAGTACTAGTGTTAGTAGGATTCTTACTCTTGGTCATAGTTTATTAAGTGAGGGCAATATTCATTCACGAAATGTAACTTCAGCATTTTATAAAATTCATTCTATTGAACAAGGTTGGATATCATTGAAAGATATAATATTAAAAAGAAAACTTGAGTAGGGAACTTTCTTCGCCCTTCCTTGACAAAATGAAGTCATCTTTCATAAACGATAGATTGGATACAATGCATATATCATGGAGAGACGTTTATGAAGCAATAAAATGTGTATTGAAAATGCTTACTGATTATGAATAATTTCTTAATGAAGATATGAGAATATCCGGCTAAAGGTTTACAAAGAGTCAACAGTGGGTGTGGATATGAGTATAAAGATTAAATCATCCGCAACCAAGTGCACATCCTTCTCTCCTCATCTACACGTGCCTTGGTCTCAGAAAACCCACAAAGCATCCTTTGTAGCCGGACATTGGAACGACGTATGAGGATTAATTAAACGTGTTGAAGTTTATGAACGCTTAAGTAGGTGTTTCTAACATGTTCATTTTCAAGAAAAAAGCTCATAGACATTATTATTAAACCCACGCTTTTTTCAAAAGTTCTTTCCTCATCTCGAATAAATTATTTCATTAAAGTAAAAACTTTTCGATTGTTTCGAATTATTTTCATGATTTTCATTATGAAGAAAAATGAATTTTACTGCAGATTAGCCGACAATTCAAAGTCCATAGAGCAACATTTTGTTGATACTTCTTTAATCATTATATACCATGTCACTACAATTGATAACCATCATTAAATAGTCTTCACAAGAAGGATGTTCATCGTAGTTGAAAATCTTCCATCACTGCTGTAATGCTATTTCTGAATACGATTTATTTTTTTCTCTTCAGTATAAGTAAAAGACACAAGAATTGAAAAAGGTTTTTACCGTCCAAAAAAGAAATGTTTGAATAAAAAAAAAATTGACTGATTTCAAAATAAGCTACCAACTTTTCAATACTATCATAGGAGAGAGAGAAAAAGTAGTTATTAGTGTCTCGTTTAGCTTCTGTGGTCTTCTTACTAGGGGTTGGTTCTGTTGATGATTTGTGCTTCACACATGCAGATGAATGAAGACACAAAACGGAGAAATCGACAATTGTTAGTGGTAAGTTCGGACAAGTGAGAATAGTAGCTGAATAATTTAAATTTGAATGTTCAATCATCTTTTTAACAAATATTTGACAATTTAGATTCGAGTTCCATACTTCTTGATTATTGTTACATGGCTTGAGTTGAATATAAACTGTTCCACCCTATCTAAGTAACAAAGTAAAAGGGAACTAGTATGCATAAACAACAAAGCTACTACTTACAATATGTCGAAGTTGTGAGGTCCATTGATTTGGTGTGACGTACATAATGTTGTATAATCGATCAACTATATGAATCAAATCTTCATCTGGAGCTATCGTCACTCGTCCGTAATGATATTTTGTTTCATCTGCTTTTGCTTTAGCGGTAACATGGACCATCAGTTCAATTAACTCCTCAATTGTACCCTTATTATTAAGTCGAGTTTCACCAGTCACGTCCACAATTAAACTATGATGTTTTTGTTTGTCCATGGATTCACCCTGTTGATGGACGCACAAATAGCACATGCCAACTTTAGATGCATCAACAACATATAGTGGAAAACTATCACCCGTTATAGCATATGGTTCAATTTTATCAAATTGTATTCGCATGAAATACAACATGAACTATTTAATCAACTTCACGAAATCTAAAAAACAGCAATAAAATAGGTAAATAAAACAGAAATAATTTCTTGAGAAAATTGAAAAGCTAAACACACTCGGAAGTGCTCAGAAAAATGTAAATAACAACGTATAGCGCTCTAAGCAATTTGACTTCTATTCTTTACAATCACTAATATATACTACTGAGAATATAGCAGACCATTGTGTACAACTGTGTGGTTGTGTGAAGTGAGCATAAATCAAGTTCATGTATCCGTATTATATTCCAACTATATTCATCGCACTCATAAATGCAATAGTCGTTGCTAATGATAAAAAATTCACCCAATTCTCAAACAAGATATCACTCCTCTATATTCTGACCATATATTATAAAACTACAGACTTGGGTAGACGAAGATTCATTATTCGTTATATCAAAATATCTCATCAGAATAACGCTGATGGTACCAATAAAACACGGTATTTGTGAAGTAAAGTATATTTTTATTTAGTAGCTACATATACAAATTACAAAAAATAACCTATAATGATGGAAAGAGACATCAGCAAAATAGAATATGAGCAAATAGAGAAAAATAAATAACAAAATTGTTTTATCAATAATTACTAGATATGAAAAAACATATTAACCAAAAAGAAAAAGAATCAATAACAATTCTATTTTCCAGTTCTTTAACTGTTCAGCTTTTTAGTTTGTTTTCGTATTTGATTGTGCTGTTATCTAAATTGTTTTAGAAGAAAAAATATTAAAGAAGTCATGATATTTTAAGACAAATAGCTATTTACTGAAAAAAAAACGATTACCATCTGTGATAGCTAGACGTTGAACACCATTTACATTTATTTGTGAAACAATCCGCATTTGTGAAGAAGTTATAGTGATATTACTGTAAATTGTTGACGGTACTATTGTTGTATTTATTGATGGTGGTGTTGTTGTACGAGACTAAAACAATTCAATTTATATTGCCATATTTATGTAATATATCGACCTGATCCTAAGGAGGAAAGGCCAAGAAAAAAAAACAACGACAAAACTCAAAGCATGGAAAAATTTTGTTTGACTATATGAAACTCGAATATCTAATGAACGTTCGTCAACAAAATCTGTGTTGTTCATGTCTCGCAAAGACTCAGAAAAAAACAAGTTGGGTCGATGCGAAATGAATTAATCGATGCATACTTGTTGATAAAATAATAATTTAGAATTACATATATCGATGAGATCAGCAATTCTCGTAACCGATATATGCGATGATTCTGCAATAGGTATCACCATAACATTGAACGTAAGAACAATCTTGTAGTTTCATAATGGTGGCCCTGTCATTGTAACGACTAATTAATAACATCACGATTGGTTGATAATTATAAACGATATTTTCAATATCCTTCAATTGTACATTTTTTTTAAATCCAAAACTTGACAATTTTTGCCAGAAAATTTCTAAAAGTATGATAAAAAACAATTCACTTTGATTTTTTAATACGATTGAAACGTTTCATCTTAAGATAATAGTCGAAAACATTTTTATATATCAAAAAAGAAATTAAAAGGTTTACTATCAGGTAATATGGACATTTGAGAAAAACTTGTTGATGTACGTTCATAACTGCATTTTCAACAAAATGATTGCAATTTGTACAGTACTTTTTATTAACATTATGATAATTCATATTAAATAATGCAGGAAAAGCAACAAGTTCATTGGCGATATTGATTTCAACAAAAATATTGCGGAGGTTTGTTCTTCAAGAGAATTAGCAAACTGGTGGCAGAAATCACATATATACTTACTTTTAATATTAGCTATGAGAATATTCTTTAAATCACTCAGTGATGGATGATTTTGAATAATTTTTAATGCATCTTGAATACTTATACATTGTGGAACGTCATTAATTAAACTTGAATATTTTAATCCTGTACATTGAACAATAGCATGTACTAAGTTATATTTATTTGCAACAAAAGATTCGTTCGAAGACCAAGATATCTACGAAAAACGAAAAAGAATGATTTCAAAAATTACAAAAAGTGTAAGAAGTATTTTTTTAAGCTTAACATGTCGGGTCGAAATAAATAATCTAAAAGTCTACTCCATACATTCTCGATACTTACGATTGTGAGCATACAATCGTGGCAATTGTTCTCCCTCACAAATTGTTTTTTATGAAGACTTGCACGCCAATTCTTTTTTTACTTCGGTATTTCTTACCATTGTTTCATAATCACCTGCTTTTACAATACTATTGAAACATACTAAATGATATATACTAGAAGATGGGAAGCCAATGGCAACCTAAGAACTAAACTGTCTCAACAAGAGCATGGAAGATGACTTTTGAGATCGAGTTACTTGCTTTGAATCATTAATGTTTAATAAGAGTACTTGAGGTCATTGTTGAACTTCGATATGACGGATGGTACCTATATTACAATTTGAACGAACCAAATCCGATTGTATTAGAGCAAAGTAAGCGAATAAATCTTTTTCAACATATAAACCAGTTGTTGAACTATTGATAAGAATTGATGTGATAATTGAACGTATCTTAGTTGTTAATTTACACCTATTACATTCGTAAATTTTATATATTATCATTTAGCAAGGTAATAGTGGTATTAGTATATTTTCTAATATAAATGAAGATTTAATGAATAGATATTAATATTCGTAGGTCTAATACTTGTTTTTGAGGAATGAAACCATTGTTCTAAGAATTTTAAAATTTTAGATAACAATGGAGAACTATTTTTGATGAAGATGTGTATGCATAGCAATCAGGATTATTATTTTCTACTGACAATAAAACTCCAATTACAACATCCAATCAAATCGAATTTAAGAACAGGTAATTTCAAGTTTTCATTTAATTTTGCTGGTGGTGCCAATAAACACGATATAAGATCATTAACAATTGGTTCACTAGGACGTTTGGCATAATAACCTGCTCTTCTTCAGAAACCTTTTTCTCGCCATCGTCCTTCAATGGGCTTCAGTTTTTGTTCATCTATAAATATTGTATGATCATTATTTGTACTATTCATAGATGTTATACTATAACCCAACAAGGGTATTCTAATATTCATCAACCAGTGACCTCATATCAGGGACTAATATTGATAATAAGATGTCAAGTCTCATATGAATTTCACCACCTAAAATGTGAAAACTAATCAACATACCACAAGAAATAGATCAGACATCGTCAGAAGTGAAACTATTCTTAAGAATAGACGAATAAAAAAATAATGAATTTGTATACCTGCTGAGCAAATGTAATGCGTTTCAGAAATTTATGATCAATATTGTTTTTATCTTATATGTTTTAGTCACAAATTTTGTACCGCGTTATAGTGACTACTCATGGATATTGATGTATAGTAATTAGTCTTAGTCGCTCTTGATAAATATGCGCTAGTTCTACATATTGCTATCCGTTAATCCTGAGAAAAAATCTCAAAGAATTTTTTCTATTCCTTTGAAAATCTCATTTCAGCTATGCTTATGAATAGGTTTTATTAGCAATCAAAGAAACTTTTTTTTAATTTTACTTAATTGATTCCTTTTAACAATGCTCATTCTTCTTTCGCTTATTGCTGTGGTGCGTTATTCTTCATTGTTACTTGTGATATTTTCAAATGAATGAATGATTTGACGGCTTAAGTTACCTTCAAAAGGAAATAAGAATATCATTGCTATTCAAATCGATACACAATAACAAGTTACCTAATAATAGATTGGACCATATCGGTGTTGTTGGCATGAATGAAATTATTAGATATCTCAACCATCCCAATATACCACGCGATGTTTTATCGTGTACTTGTTTAATTGAAATACCACAGACTGTTAGAACATCATAAACTAATTTAGTTATTGTTGATTTAAATGGAGAATCCATAGCATTAGCTTGTTGTTCTTCATCGATTACCATCCATATTAAAAAATAAATAGATATTTTATCAGAACTAAAAAAAAATCATATCCTGATGTTTAAACAGAACTTCCTTTACCATTGATGATTGAAATGCAGAATATTTAACGACTCATCGTAGTGTCATAGAAGTTAAGAAAAGTAATTAAGAGACCTACTAACAATCAAAACAAATCAACATATATACGTATACATATGCTCTGAATACGTAAATAAGAAAGTAGTGACTTCAGATGTAAACGAAAAAGATATTTCATATTTTAAACAAAGTAATGCATGATGAATTCACGAACTCTAGTGCATTCACTAAATGTCAATGTTCATATTTTCAAACTAGTTTTTTAGTTGATTTCGAGACATGTGCAACTAGTTTAGGATCTGTTTCATCATAATCGTAGATATTTGAGCAGTGTAAATTGTATGTATCGTTTTCTGATATTGCATCACTTGATTTGATAATATTTCTTGTATTAGTATCATGTTTAATCTTACTTATCTTGTCAATCAAAGCTTCTTGATGCTCTTTGTTAACGAATTGCTGGCCCAAATGTAATTCAATGAAAACTTTACATATTAACTTCCAGTTATTAAGGAATTCCTTCCATGTTAAAGTGTTAATAAATGAAGCAATGTACCATATAGCAAGGCTTCGAAATGTATCTGAAACACATGTATTTATTATTTTTTTAGCGTCCTATAGAAAAAAAAACGTTAATGAAGTAAAATATCAAATAGTAAAGCTTACTAAAAGCACGTGTGACAAACAAGCGTCGATGTTTGTCTTCTGATAATCTGAATCACTTGCGTCACCAGTGACTATTCTATATGCTCTGTTTAAAAAAATCGTTCATACTTTCGTTGTTTTAAACTTTCACAGCTGCAATCAGAAACGCTTGAGCTATATCACTTAATACGATGTGAGACTGAGAAAATTTCTTCCCGACAAAAACCTATTGGAAATCAAAATTATTTAAAATGTGGATTTTTAATTGTCTGTGAATAACAATACATGAAAATCATTCATTAGGAATTTTCAAAACAAAAATAATGAATCGACTTTAATTAAATAAAACCTATTCTTTTCTTTCAAACTAATTTTACATTATAAAAAGATGATTCATTTACCTAAGAGTAGCTATGCTTGAACAATTGCAACCAATGAATGACATTGACTAGTGTATGAGCATCACTAATCATAAAAGTTACTGGTACGATACTGTCTTGATTGATAACACCAGGCAATGTAGTACTTAGCTCATAATGGAGTAATCCATTTGTTTTTTTTTCTTTGATCATGTTGCCTGTAGCATCCAAAGACAAAACGACATTCTTGTCTCATAAGCAAATCAAGCAAATGTATAGATGATTCAGAATACACGATTACATAACAATGATAGGTAGATATAAACTGGATATTTTCTTTAACTTTACCATCCGGATTATAATCAGCTCGAAAACGTCTCTAATACTTTAAATAAACCATCATCGACATCTGTTGGCAATAAAGAGTCCGCAACTCCTTTTGATTTAATTTTACTTAATATGTGTCTGCTCTTCCCGACACCATCGTAGTTTTGACGTTGTCTTTGTTCAGGTGTTTGTTGTTGTAATTTTTCACGATACATCCTATACGTGGATGCCCTTGCGCGAATTGTTGTTTTTATTAAATTTATTAGCGGTGTTCGAATAGGACGACATATCTTCACACCTTTCTTGTGTCTGACTTTCCTATTCGTACCGATTATATTTCCTTTGCCATTATCCTGCACGATAATAAAGTATGTGAAGAAGCATCGGGAATGAGCACTATACCGTAATTTGCAACGAAGCAACAGGCGATGAGCATCATTTGCAGCATCAAATGTACAGTTACGTATATATAAACCATAAAATTTGTTCAATTGTTTTGTATATGGAAGTAATATATAAAAGTATATAAGGTGCTGAAAATCTAAAATTTTAATGGATTTATTTTCTCGTTCCTTTATATATGGTTTGATAGAGCTTGGAAAGCTGATCACGAATATATACTTTTGATTTCAATTCCACCACTGTTTAGCTGAGAAAACCTTAAAAAATTAGAAGGACTAAGAAAATATCATTTTTACGTTGAATTTCTTTTCCGTAGCAATTGTCAACATTTTAAAAGTACTATATTCTGAATCACCACAAAAAACTGAATAGAAAAATATTATTTGATTAGATGTAGAGCTAATAAGGCTAAAAAGATTCTATCCGATAATAAATGGGTGCATCAAGCTATAAGTATGTATCAGTGAGCATTCTTGTAACTCTATCTAGTTTTTCATAACAAACGATAGAATCAACTGCCTTATCTCGTTAGAATTGTCAGATCATGGCTACAACGATTACTATTGAGCTTTTTTTTGAAATTTTATTTTATTGCCCAGAAAATCCACTTTTAAAAAACTGCTGTGACAAACGGCTAAGTCACTTTTTTTCGTAAATTTTTTCGCTATATATTATCTTTTTATCGCCTTATTGGTAAAAATTCAGGCAGAATTCGATAGACGTAACTTAAAAATTATCAAAAGTTATACAGAACAAGTTCTAAAATATAGTTTTCATTAAAAACAACCAGATTGACTAGGCTTTTTTAATGTTAATCTATAGTATTTACATATTTCTATTCTATTTTTGTCTATATCCGAATCAATTTCACAAAAATATCAATAAGCAAAGAGTATCGAGATAGTAGATAAACAAAGAATTAAGAAAAAAACAAAGTGTTAACTATTCAAATTAATATTCCTAACTTTAAGATGTGCTTTGTTTGTTGTCTTACAATTTTTACTGAAAAACAGTTGAAGGACTGCACTGCAGGTTTTCTCTTCATCATATACCTCCAAACATTTCTAAAATCTTCGGAAAAGCTTAAGATGAACTTCTTTCTGTCCAAAATTTGTTCGTGAGTCCTGCATTAGTTTGATCATGGTATGATATTTCTGGTCAGTTCTCTTTCTTATAAACTGCTTCATATGAGCCCAACATCCCTCAATTGCACTGATTTTACAATGATATTTACGACAGAATAGTGCAAATATACCATATTTTTGTGTCAATTGTTCTAATCGTGAAATCTAGAGGAGATAAAAAGAAAAGGTATTTCTAAGATTTCTGCATCAGCTGAACAAAACTACGTTTTGAAATGCCGGATGATGAGCAAGTAACTGGTGTAGCTTACTTAATTTTGATTTTGGTGAAGGATTACAGTTAAGTTCAATGGCAATCTCAAATAAACCTTTGGATTTTCCTCGATAAAAATCCTGTTGAAAATAACATGATAATGATTGTGTAGCACCCTTATCATCCACCCATGACAGCTGGTCTACAGAACGACGTATTGAAACCCTCCTTTCCAAAATCTAATAAATTATACGCACGAGCTGAATGAGTACGGGCATTGTCCACGATAATTTCAATTTTATAATTGTTGAAACATATTTTGAATTGTAGTGACTTTAAAATAATCTCTCAAATTGTGTTAATACTGTTGAATTATCAAAATAAGCATCAGGACCAACGTGCATAGATGCAGTGGCAGAATGTTCTATATAATCAATATCTTGTTCATCTTTTAATTCTGAATATTTTTGTAATGCTTTTTCATATTCAGTTAGGCTCAGTTGAAAAAATGAACCTGAATTACGCATAGCCAAAAAATCTGATAGCATATTAGATCTGCCACGTCCTTCGGAATAAAATGGCGCCTGGTTACCATATAACCAGCAATTAGCTGACACCTCACCACTTCGGAAGATACTCTCATCATGAACTAAACGGGAAAAATACAGAAAAGGCAAAATAGTGTTTAAATGGAATTCCTTTTTCGTCTATCGCAACATACAGATAAGAATAATTGATGTCCCAATTGTAGGTATTTGCCATTTTGGCTGTGCATCTTCACTTATTAAGTAATATGAATCTTTTCTTGGAAGAAAATGCTGTAAAAATTTTGTACGGTGTTGTACTATATGTCTTGTCGTTCGTGACCTTTGAAGTAGGGACGTTGCGAATTAGAATCGAAACAAGCGCCCCATCTTCGAAGATCAATACGGCAGGATTTAACTGAGCGAATCAATGAATCATCAGCATCTTTTTTAATAATAGTTAGCATAAAAAATTGTTCGTCTATAAATTTAGCTAGCTCAAATGTATCAAAATCAGCTGCTTTGGCAGCACACCGTTGAACAGAATAATTTTTAGCTGATGCTTCAATATCAGGAAACATCATAAAAACTGGGAATATTTTTTCCACCTCGACCTTCGTTTATAAATTCATTAAAAGTGCCGGAAAAAAATATATTAGTCCATTTGTTGACAGTTCTGGTCGTTAATGCACCAATCTGCTTGAAAAAATGATCCCGTTTAAGCCAATTTGTACAAAAATGACGAAGAATTATATATAACAAAACACTAACAAGTTTTAAGCCAATTTTATCGTTAATCATTTCGAACAGATCTTCAATATCATCGATTTTCATCTTATCAAAAAAACGAATAAATTCAGCTTCATCATATTTTATCCGATGTAATATCTTCTTCTTCCGATACACTCTCATTTTCTGATAAGACTCGTTGATCATACCAACGCTTGCGTGCATAAATACGTCCCTTAGACCGAAGTTTATTTCATTTCGGCATAATGAAATATAAAAGATGAGAAATTATTTGGAATTGTTTTAAAATAGCCTGTTCAACTGGTATAAACTAATGTGCTTGTTTCAAGCAAACTTATACAATAAGAAATACAGTTTAAACAGCAATCTTTATAGACTAGAGAGCAGTCTAGGCATAGAGACGAGTGTACACATAGAAAAAGATGTCTGAGGAAAGAAACTTATGTTGTAATAGAGCGAGAAAATATAGTGAGAGAAAAGAACAGAGCAGCACAGAAAAATAATCAGCTAAATATGTATGGCGAGAAGAAGCGCATCCATAATGAACAGAAATAAAATATTTATATATAAGCGAAGAATTGAAAGAGAAAATGCCTATAAAAGTACAGAAAACGTGTGCATATAAGAACATAAAAATTGTTAAGGGGCTTAGTCTTGGTCACTTTCTTCTGTTGGAACTATAAAACAATTCAACCGAACATGCAATTAATATACGGACAAATAAATGCCAAAAAAAGCTAGTCAATCTGGTTGTTTTTGATGAAAACTATATTTTAGAACTTGTTCTGTATAACTTTTGATAATTTTTAAGTTACATCTATCGAATTCTGCCTGAATTTTTACCAATAAGGTAATAAAAAGATAATATATAGCGAACAAAATTTACGAAAAAAAAGTGACTTAGTCGTTTGTCACAGCAGTTTTTAAAAGGTGGATTTTCTGGGCAATAGAATAAAATTTAAAAAAAAACTCAATAGTAATCGTTGTAGCCATGATCTGACAATTCTAACGAGATAAGGCAGTTGATTCTATCGTTTGTTATGAAAAACTAGATAGAGTTACAAGAATGCTCACTGATACATACTTATAACCTGATGCACCCATTTATTATCGGATAGAATTTTTTTAGCCTTATTAGCTCTACATCTAATCAAATAATATTTTTCTATTCAGTTTTTCATGCTGATTCAGAATATAGTACTTTTAAAATACTGACAATTGGTACGGAAAAGAAACTCAACGTAATAATGGTATTTTCTTAGTCCTTCTAATTTTTTAAGGTTTTCTCAGCTGTAGTGTGACTTTTGGAACATCCTGTATATTGTTTGTTCTTTGGTATTTTAGTTAGTTCGTTTTTCGTTCCTTTCATCTATCTGCTGTTGTTGTTAATTGGTTTCTCTTTTCTCTAGTCAGATTCTTATATTTTTCGATGTGTTTTAAATGTTCTTATAAAACATTTATCATGTGATTCCAGATGAATTTTGATCTACTCTTGACATTAAGATACATTTAACATATGATGAGCGTACATGCTACATTATTATCAATTTTCCTTCTCCTACTAAATCTGTATGCCAAAAAATACAAGTTAATCATTTAAAATGCCGTCTACTACCAGACATCCAATAGAAAATACCCGTTACGATAAGAATAATACTAATAAGTCCTGAAACAAGTAAAGTCCAGAAAATATGTGAAACAAGAAGACAACAATCATCTTGTGAACTAATTTAAAATATATTAATAATAATAATGTCATCAAAATCGGTACTAGCTCCAGAATTTGGAGAATGATGTGCTTGATTCGGTGATAGAAACAATGATTTATTGACATCATTTACAGATGCAAAAGGACAAAATGAATCGGGTAAGCCTCATACATATACACAATTTGTCGATACTGTCATATTATCCATGTTCGATGGGAAAGTATCTAAGCAAGTTTTAACATTTCATCTCTATTTGCTAGTATGTTTAAACACATACACTCAGTATACGTCACACTTTTGAAGTCAGTTGAACAATATTCAAGATGAGGTGCATATGAACTTATCTTGGTCAACACAATAAAATAGCCAGCGAACGAAATAAGTGCGTGCATAGATGATAAAATCTGTACTGGTAAGAATCATCGACTGACCGTTATGAACAATTATACGAATAAAGTGAATCGATTGTTTGTAAGTTTTAAATGCGAGTGTGTTGATTGTTTGGAATAGCATACATGATTGCAATTTGAATGTTCAATGCAAATGTATTAATGACTTGAACCCTATGAAGAAGACCATGGCAATATTGGAGTATTGCTTCATAATAATGTTGCTTGTGTATCATTACCAATAAAAATATTTTCCTAAAAGCGGCAGATCAACGATAATTTGTTGAGTGCCATATTCAATTAACACAGACATGCTATAATCAAAATTGTAACTATAGATAAATGCACCACCTAAAGTCATCGACATATTAGAAGATCTCCTAAATAAACCACGCAAAATTATATATTAGAAGACCCCCTCTTATAATTGATTTTTAGTCTTTCTATCATGTATATATATTTCCTTTCTATATACATGTATTTGTAAGCTTCGCTTCAGAAACATTTTTCTGTTCTTTCTGGCGTTCAAAATAGACAGTACTTGAATAATATAACGTTCAATTAACGGATGCATCTATACGGCATGTAAAAAAACGGTGTCTGTTGTGTCTAAGTTCAATTATCTTTCATTTCAATTCTTTTCTTTTCACGAAAAGTCAACTTTATGTTTGTTTTCAGAACTAAATAAACATAAAACCTCCGTTATGGATAATGATCTAATCACAAATTCTGTGAAAAATGTTACTACTATGCAGTGTCAATTAATCGTTTTCTATGTGATTAGGCGTATTGTTTAATAAAGACGCTCGTTCTATGAAATCTTTATAAATTCATAAATTAGTCATCAATATTTTCGACACTCTATTATAGTTTCATGTTGTTCAAGGCAAATAGAAAAATAGTAAAAAAAAACTAGAACACATTCACATAAAGAAAACAAAGAGAACAACCGCAACACACATGTACACAATACATATACGATAATTTCCAGGTCCCACACTGTTCAATGTGGTTTTTGCAGATTTCACAAAAAAACTCATAATTTGAAGGTAATATGGTGATTCGTGATTTTCCAAGCGTAGATGAAATTGCAAAGGCTGCCAATGGATTTTTGTTTCTGGCATAATCTACTGCCATTATCTATCTCTCAGAAGTCGACAAAATCCGACGTCGTTTACTTCATTACAATGCCATATTGGCTGAATCTGGCATGATTCGATAAATAGATTTAAAAGAATCAGGACGTACTGTTTTCGCATTAATCGAGTTAGAATCCATTGTCACGGATTTCGACATGACTACCCTCAAACTCAATCGGATTTCGAAAGAAGACGCCGGTTTCTGGAGTAATTCGATGATGAATCTGCTGTTTTCAGGTAGGATACATGGGATTGCTTGAATCACTTGGGTGTCTTTAGTCTATAATAAGCATTTCGAGTTTGCGAAAACGTGTTTTTGGTCGTTCTTTTGTACAATCATTTTTGTATAAGTATATAACCGAAAAAATTTGCCGTACTCCATTCAACTGCATAGAAGGTATTCAAATTTTGTATTATATAGTAATATAGGATGGCCCAAGTGTCATTTTCCCGAAAAAACTTGAATATCTCTGCTACAGCTCGACTAAATGGGCTGATTGTTAATCTATAAAAAAAGACATTTTCACAGTTCGTATCCTTAGAGACAAGGTTAGAGAGAACCTCTTTCAAACTCCAAAAGCTCTCAATTCATCTACTAGTCTGAACAAAATAATCGTAAAATAACCTCACCAAGTTAGTCCTTTTTTATATTATTCCAGTTGAATTTAACCAACTCTTTGAAAATTCGACGATTTAGCTCGACAATTGACTGCTATTTCAAGATCTTATAATTACAGCTAGAGTGCGATTTTCTCATCGAATCTGTTGTANAAAATAATCCAAAGAAAAACAGAATCGAACGAAACAACAGCTGACTATTAGTCTTCACTATTTTTTTAGTAAAACCGTGTGACTATGATTCGATTTTTTTTTTTGATGAAAGTGGAAGTGAAAAAAACAATGTCTGAAAAAACTATGGGGACAGTAAGTACTTAAATAAGTTCGGTATTTTTTTTTAATTAAAATTCAGAATCTTAAATAATCATGAAAACTATCGTGGCTTATTTTAATTGCTTTTTTTTATTCGAAGTCTTAAATATATAACGCATATGTCAATAAAACAATAAAATAAAAACGTGACAAGGGATTAATTTTATGTATTAATCATTGGTAGTTTCATTTTTGCATAAGCAAAATTCGAAAAAAAAAACGTCAATACAATAATGATAAGCAACAGTCGAATCCTAGCCTAGGGCGCAATTTGTTTTCACCTTTGTACTACTATATATCATTACATTTGCCTTTAAATAAAAAAAAAAGGAGCAAGATTAGATTTAAGAGTTGAGAGAGGACAAGAACTATACCTACTAAATCAAAATAATAAAATACACGGTTATTCTTTCTTTCAATGTAGAATAATGTTATCTTCAGGTGGTATTTTATGAAATCTACGCATTCACTTACAAAGAATAGTTTCTCAAAGTAAAAGGTCGTAATACTTAAAATGTTTGAATAAAAAGAGGGGTCAACAGGTATACACATAGATGAAAAAAAAACAAATCTCTAAGAAAAAAGAACTTTAGTTTCATTTCACATTCTTTTCTTTAGTTCCCGTATAATCATCAGCTGACACACCATAATTTTTCTCGTCTCTCTTTTCTCGTTCTCTCGTTCGTTCGTTGAACTATTTTATTTTAGCTGTGAATTTTATAGATCTGCCAAAGAAGAACCAATCATATTTAAAACATCACACTATAGAGGTTTATACTAAGCAATAATTATTTCTTATGGCGTCTATTTATTTTTGATTTCACTCGTGTTTCTATTGGAGAGTAACAGAAAAAAAAACTCTTGTATAAAATGTATTTTTTTGAATTATTTTCTCATGCGGATCGATTTTCATATCGTACATATTTATTATCAAGTGCAACATATGTTTTCATTTCATTTACAGCATTGACATTCTTACCACCATTTTTATTAACATATTATACAGGTGACTTTTGGATAAAAGAATCTATTTACAGTGAACAACCACGTATTTATAATCAAACAAAATATATTCTTATAGTTGAAAATAATGATGCAACAAATAATCGTTTTTTTCTATCATCTTATTCAACATTAAATAGAAATTTTGAAGAAAGTCTTATTACAGGAAATACAATTGTAACATCATCTGACGTTGATGGTGATGGTTTAATAGATCAATGTCGTATTTCAAGTGATTTTATATTTTCACAAGCTGATATTGTCATACGTAATATTAATATTTGGTTAATATTTCAATATCAATTACGTGAAAAACAACGTATTAATATGGAAACAATGGCACTTATAAATATTGTTCCACCTTCTATGCTTACTGCAAATTCAAATACAAATCTAACTATTTATGGTCAATTAATTTTTGAACAACGACAAACAATAAAAAATTCTGGTAACGATTCAATATATGACCAATCAATAATTGATACAAGTTCATCATCAACACCAGATCTTGATTCTATTCTGAAGGAATATTTTACACGAAAATATTATACAGCATATCAAACACAATATATATGGATGACACCTCGAACAACCACCAGTGTTAGTAATACCTTAACAGTTAATGCTGTTGTTAATATTGGACGACAACCAATTCGATATACACCTGGATTTTGGCAAGACTTTAAATGGGGTTGGATACAATATATATGTGTTCTTGTACCATTTATGATTATATTTAATCGATTGAAATTATTTGTTTTTTCAAATAATCTTATACGAACATTAGCCCCATTATCATATCATCAACATCAAATATAGATAAAACATTTCATGAGCATTTTTTTTCTTGTTCTGGTTGAATTTTGTTTTTTTGTTTCTTTATTTGTAAGAAAAAAAAAGAAGAAATGAAATAAATCATTGAGAAAACAAAGTTAGGTTTTAAGATACATGTATAGATAGAAATCACACACACATATATATATGTAAGTGAATTACAATTTTTTGGTACGATTAACCCTGTCAGTATTATTGCTGAACGAATAGACGAAATTCCTTTGAGACTTTATATTCAATATGGGTAGTGTATATTGTTGATATTTTCATCAAAACTTTAAAAAAAAATCTTTAAAGTTATTTTCGGCCGATACCTGTACTCCTCACACGGATAGTGAAGAAGTATTCTAGTCATCCGCCTAGGAGAGTACAGATGTAAGTCAAAATTCCATTGAGAGCTATTGCCAAATCAATCTTTGGAGTATCAGTAAGAGCCACTAGTAACTTGATTCCAACATCGAGAAACAGAAATATGTTGGGGATCGCACAAGGGTATTATCCATCTTCCTCACATAGATGTATGCATCGAAGTCTCTTCTATGGCATGGAGAAAATTGCATTCCAAGAATTAAGAAACTTGAAAAATCCTAACATCATAATATACGCTGGCATTTCAAGGGTTGATGCAAAAAATTAAAATTAGATTTAAACAATATCTGAGCAAGTTTTTTTTTATTATACTCTATGTCTATGTAATATAGTGCAAGTTTCCCAACATTTTACATCTTACTTTAGGGTATGCATAACCTGAAAAATATTATGTTAATGAAAAAATCAGTCAGAGTTCACTGAAATTTTACGTGTTAAATTTTTTTTTTTTATTCCGAAGTCAACGTTTACAATTAAAGTAGAATAACTTTTCGAAATGGGACGAGCTCAATGATATAAGATGCGATTAGAGATATATGAGATCAAATTTCTTTGGTGCCAGTTATGATCTTGATGAATCTAATTTGGCTCTGGCCTAGAGCAAACTATGACAGAATTGATTCGTATCATATTGAAAAAAAAATTCTTCAACACTTATTTTTTATTTATTTAGTGGACGCCTAGCACTTTTTATGTTATCTCTCTTGATTATGTTCTGATTGATATAATTTACAAGATAGTTCGCTTAAAACTATAGAACATTGAACAATAATGTTCAGTTTCGACTGGAACAATTTTTTTCTTGTAGTCTCATCCATAATCTTAACGACCCGCTTTCCCATGGCACCTATTCCGATTTGATCCAAAACCCGACGGTACATTTAATCTCGTAAATCTCTAGATGCAGCCTATATTGACTCACTATTGCTTGAAATATTATATGAAAAATGTTGTATATAGTGAATGGACCTCGCAATTGTAAGTTTCACTCTTTTTTATTGGAAAGGAAAGCCGTTTGAAATAAAGTTCTTTTCTTAGTTGTTCGCCGCAAAACGGCCTTTCCTTTGAATGCCTTCTCTTTTCATTCCCTTCTAGACATATGGAAAAAATTCAAAAATAATATCCCTCTACACAAAAATGAACAAGTATTTACCATAAAATGTTTCGGGCGAATGGCCATGGAAAGACCGATAGAGAAACACGAAAGGTATATTATTTGGCAGAGTATTTCAAATTGTATAAAATGAACTATGCGTTATTTTTTCCTTCCTATAATTTCGTTGTCCTAGGAAGTCTCTTTGTAAAACATGATTTTTTCATAGTATGAGTTCCATGAATCAGTGACAATATCAACAAGAGAGCTTGAAATTTAATGTAATTGTTGAACACTCCCATATGAGTAATATTGAAAAAAATTCTTCAAATCAGTCAACAAGAAAAAAAGTTACTAGACAAATACAGCTGAAATTTCAATTGTACCAAAAGTTTCAATCCACTATTGTCTTCAGCACGTACACTTAAAAAACATTTTCTTTCATTTTCAATAAGGAATACTCAGTTGTCAGAACAAGAACCTTCATCGGAATGTAATCAATCACAAGTAATAAATTATTATTGACTTTTATGACGTTTGCAAACATTTTTATGAATCAATAATGGAACTGTTGTAATTTTGTTTTTGTACATTCCATGTCATTAATAACAAAAAGAAATAAACACAAGATTCTATATAATTTTTCTTATATATATTTGTACGAAATATGAAAATATAGAAAAGATCTACGAAAATTTTCAAATAAAAACATGAAATATCTGTTACATGATGAAAATGCTCATCAATTTTAGACACTAAGAAAATATTTAACATCTTAATTTCATCAAAATTCTTGATGTTGTCATTTAATATACTACGTTTTATCTTGTATGAGATGTTTGAATTTTTTTAAAGTCATTTAACTATCTTATACACATTTGTTCTGTATAAAAAAAAAGAAAACTAATTTTCATTTATTTATTTAAAATATCAATTCAGCTTATGTGGGCGCTTTATTTTGCACAGGTGTTTTGACATATATAGATTGATTCATTTCGAGTCTAAGAACAACATAAAACAAAAAAAAAAGAACCGACGAGAAAAATGTCATATGAGCTTAACAATACGTTACTATCTATGCTCGATTTTGTCCTTGTTTCTAATACATGAATCAACATCTTGTAATAGATTTCATTCGTTTTAAACTATCTATCTTCGATAATATTCAACTGGTTTAATTGATTTTTTATCCGATAATATTGAATCATAATCAATACTTTGACGTCTACTGGTATTAATTGAATTTTCTTCATAGTTCCGTACAAAAGCTCGTGCAATCATAGATTCATGAAATGAATCATGTTCATCACTATCATTTTCTTGTTTTTCTTCAATAGGATTATTATAACATGGTTGATGAGAATAATTTCGATTTAATATTGAATGGTTATTTAATTGTTGTTGTCGAATCATAGTATCACATACAGAACAACGGTTTGGTAATTTTGGTGTTAAATTAGTAATGCGTTTTTGTCCATAACTATATGTTTCGTAGAATACTTTTGCTAATAACTCAGCAAGTAAACGTGATTGTTTACTTGTTTTACAAAGTACAACATGACAATCAAGTTCATTGGAATATGTTGAACGAGCAATCCATGCAAACAGACGACGATGTAATGGTTCAGCAACACAATATGATATATTTTCAATAGCATCACACCAAACATTTTTATATGTTTCATTAGCTATTGCTTCATATATACATAAACCAAATCGATCAATTGATATAGCACAACGATTATAGTGTGAACCCTTTTTTGAACGCGTCCATACAATACGTACAGGTTCCTTAAATAACAAAAAAAAAGCAAATAAAGATTTGAATTCATAGAAAATTTTTACTTACAATTGCTATACCTATTCCACGAGCATATAATGAACGTTCTTTGCCTAAATATTTAACTGGTTGAAGAGAATCTTCACTTCGAAGTTCACTATCATTCATTTCTTTAAGACTGACAAAAAGATAAACTCTTTTTTTCCTCTTTCATCAACCTTTTATCATTGAATGTCTCATTGAGGTGGCCTTTAGAGATTTTTTTTTTCTTTTCATTGATCCTAAAGTAAAGCTTCTTTCGAGGAAATCAAGCAACTGATGACGATGATGATGTGAAGATAGAAAACAAATGAAAAGAAAGGATGTGCTTAATTTATTTTGAAAGTAAAAAAGAAAAGAAAAAGAGAATAAAGCGGGACTAAAGATACATAAGAGGCGCGCACAAGGCTATTTAACTCTTTATATTATGTATCTATATATATTACTGAATAGACATGACAGATGATCGATGAAATTCTGTTTTCGTCTTCGATTACGAAAAAAAAATCAATTTAAAAAATATAAAAAACATTCATATGTTGTTAATCTATTTAATCATTATGATAATCATAGACAAGAACAACAAAAACAGATAGAAATGCCAATAAATGAATCTAATCAATTATCTAATAATATGTCATATGTTAATGATGGCAGTGGTGATGATCGAGGAAAATATTTTAAACAAATACCAACACCTGTTGATGAACAACAAATATCCAATGCACAAGATAAAGTTGATAGATTAATGAGCATAATAACAGATACATATGAAAAAACTTTAGTTAGAAATCTTCGTCTTGAAGAACTTGATATGAGATCAACAGATTTATTTCGTGATGCTGAAAAAATGAAAAATATGGCTCATAAAATGCATGATAAATTCTTTTGGGAAGATAGTAAGTTTTCTAAAAAAATTTTTGTATTTCACTATTCCGATTCGAAACTGAAATTTGAGATCTTTATTTATATATCAGCTTGTCGATCAGAATTTACTCTAGAAAATATACTATTTCTTGTCTTTCGACAAGGCACCTCAAATTTTCGTTTTTCCAAAAATGCTCACAGTTGAAAAATCGACAACCGTTTTACGTTGATAGGAACTATTGAAAAAATGTTTGTAGTCTCACTTGGGTAAAAGCTTCAGCTTAGTTCAATATCACATTTTGTAGCGAAGTATCCAATCTAGAAAACGACGACTGAATCCGACAATTTTTAACATGTTCGAAGAGGAACTTGTAGGATAAACAAAAATCTGTCGGTTCACAGTTGAAAATAATTTTTCAAGCCTTTTCAATAGTTCCTTGCTACTCTCGAACAAAAACTGAGAGAAAATTTGTAAAGCCATTTTCGAAAAAAAGCACAAAATTTTGGTTTTCACTGATCGGAAATGCGGCTAAAGTGAACAAAGATTGGTTATAGAATGTCTGATGGACGAAAAATTTCCAAAGACTTCTTTGTTTTACGTGATTGACTATGTATACTTCACAATTACATGTCTGAGATTTTGGAACTTTCGGTAATTCTCTAACTCAAAATCAGTCTATAGATAGCAAGTTATACTAATAAATTTCATTTTCGATGAGTTTTCGTTCGATTCAACATTGAGACCATTTATATTTGAAGCTCTACTTCTCCGGAATGAAAAAAAGTTCTAAACCTATACAGATTGGTCACTATTATTATTTGATTACCGATTTTTCAAATAGATCTAACGCTATCGGAAACGTTGTTTATAGAAATCATGAAATTAATAATAATCTTGTTTATCAGTTATCAGAAATTATATTGAACTAGAAGTAAATTGCTATGCAGAAATACAGCGATAGATTTATACTTTTGAGATAATGTCAAAAAATATCTTTAATAGAAAATTTCATTGATTTAAGTTATAAAAAATTGAATTTTTATATATCGACTAAATGTAATAATTTAGTGTTAAGTCTGTTCATAAAAGAAAATAATGAGAAATCAAAATTGTCAAGAAAAAAATTTCAAATATTTTGTAAAACTGAATTGCTTAAATGAATCTTTTATTCTTTGTTAATGTTTATTTTCTAAAAAACAAAATTAGCTTAAATGGATAGATTCTGGATGATTTTCTATTTCATGATGAGGAAATCTCTAAGAATTAATATTCACACTTACTCTATTCATTACTTATCATTTTGATTTGATAAATTTCTTGATTCGTTTTACTCTACTCTTTCTATTCATCCAATTGATCTGGATAAAACTGAAATGCAATGGTCAGTACGTGTAATCAAAAATCCTAAATTCGAAATTTCACTAAAGGGCTAAAAAATAAAATGGGTAAAAGAATCTTAATATCTTGGGTACTAGATAATACATAAGGTCAATTGAAATACCATCGTTAAAATTCGACAGAGAGTTGTAATTGTCAAGCTCTTTCGAATAGCAGATACTACACCTATAACATTCTGAACTCAGTAATTGATTACGATAAGTTGCATTTAAATATTTTGAAAAATTTTCCTGATACATTTTTATTTCATGTTCACTAAGCCTTTTTATGTATTTAACCGTTCTACTCAGACTTTTATTGATCTCCGTATAAATTCTTTTTTCTTTCTTCTCTTTCGTTCCGTTTTTCTATATGTATTGCAAGGGCACATGACCTTCATTCATCACGACAGCTTAACAGACGTTAAGAATAATCCTCATTATTTCTTTTTATTCACTACGATATTAATCTCAAAATCACCAAATTCTTATTTTTATTCATTTAGAATATTGTATGGTTGTAATAATTGCATCAATATCTGCAATTGTACTTGGTGGTCTTCTTGCTCTAATATTCATACCAAAAATAACAGGGAATTAAATCTATGTAATCTCTTTGTTTGTGTTTTTGTTCATTTTTTTTTGTATATACTTGCATGAGCTTTTGCTCATCATGTCTGTGTCACTTCCGATACAAGGTTGTTTTTTTAATGTGAAAATGAAAAAGAAAAAGAAGAAGGAAAAATTTCATGAATTAAATAAATAGTTCTTCTTAATCATTTTGTTGACTTGCTGATGTTGATATTAATGCTTCTTTAAGTTGATCATATATTTCACGTTGTTCATCCGTTATAGTATCTTCATCAATTGAATTAAGTAAATCAAGACTTGTTCGATCACGCTAATAATTTCAAATAAATTCATTTCATATTAATCAATGTTTATTTTCTACTTACAATATCTTTAACAAGTGCTAATGATGGATACTTTTGTAAAAGATGTAATGCTATATTATATTGATGATTTTCAATAGCATCATGTAATGACGATGAACCTTCAGAATCTCGATAAAGTGCAATATTTTTACGATCAGATGTCATTGTATCAACTGTTTCTATATCTCCATCTTTAATTGCTTGATTTAACTGTTTGATTTTTGCCTAAAAAAAAACAAAAACAAAAAACTGTTCACACAATCACTGAAAGATTAAAATGTGAAACACAATATAGCCATTGTTATCAATCACAAGGAGATTGTTTTATTCTGTTTACATTTTTTCACCCTCATTTTATTTAATCCTCCAGAAATTGAATAAGGTAGTAGCTCATATATTATAACGAGGCAATATTAATATACGATCTTTGAATAGGAAACGTTGTTAAGATGTCCGTGACGGACTGTGATGGTCTCGGACTAGCGTCCTTCATTAGCAATCATCATGGCTAAGTAACTACATTGTTTGGCAGATATACCTGATTTGTGACTAGTATGTGGTTAGCGTATGTGGACGAGAAGTTCAAGCAACAAAAAAAAACAAGAGCTCTGTGTCAGGTTGATCTTCTATTCAGAACTATAGCTAGAATCAGTTGTAAAGCATTTATCGGGCTACTGAATGTGCCACTAGACAGCACTCTATACTGCAAGGTAGTCGAAAGGCAAATGTATTCTTCTGGTCACGGTCTGTTAGGAGAGGAGGCAAAGAATACAAGATTCTACCCTATATGCTTTAACAATCCTGTTAGATCGTGTTTCACAAGAAAAAAAAACGGAAGACAACGTGAATAAATTTTTAATATAAATATATATGTGTATATTCATTACTAATAATTGAGGAATTTCATTATTAATAAAATCATTTGTATCTTCGTCACTATCTTCAATTGTTTTTAATTGATTAATTATTTCTGTATAACCACATAAAAGTAAATCATTAACTGCTTTTGTATTTCCATTTTGAAGTAATAGAACACAAAAATTATCTAAATAAAAAATTTTTCATAGTTATATTAAGAGAAAAATGATACACACCGATTTGATCAACATTTTCTTGAAGACCAGCATCAAGGGCAACATCTCTTGGTGTTTTTCCTTCCGCATTACGTGATGCAATTGAATGATAATTATCTCGAAGTAATTCCGAAAGATTAGCATCTAAAATATATTTAAAAAAGAAAAAACAATGTTAAATGAAAGTTTCTTTTTGTATTAACTCTGAACAGCAGCTCGTCGATGAAGTTCTGTTTCACCAAATTCAACAACAAATACATCATCTTCTTCACGTACAGCAGGTAATGGTGGTGGTGCAGCTGCTAATTCTTTGTGTCTGCAGACAAGATTTACAATTATATATGTTAATAAATAAAATAATATTCTTTTCTTTTTTGTTTACCGTTTAGCTAATTCTTCTGCATCTCGTTTACGTTTTTCTTCTGCTTCGCGTTGTTTTCGTTCATTTTCTTCTTGTTCACGTAAAGCTCGAATTTCATTTTTAAGTTGAGCACGATGTAGTTTTTCGTCTTCAGCTTGTTGTCGTTCAAGTTCTAATTGTTTTGATTCGTCTTCTCTCTATTGGAAAAGATTAAAAAAAAGAAAATAAAATGTCAAATTTATATTAAATTTTTAAAAAATCTACTCTTTTTTGTGTTCGTGTATTTTGAACTTGTTTATAGAGATATGTAGCTAAATATTCAATAGGATCATTTGGACGACGTTCAACAATTTCGGCTAAACCACGAATTAATGCTGGTCCTATATTTACAAAATGATTAAAAATATGATAAGAAAAAATGAAGAATTTGATACGTGCCTACAGTAGATGACAAATATTTAGCTTCAATTGAATTTGGATCTGGTGGAGGACGACGTCCAGAATTTGATCGATTCATTTTTCAGAGTGAATTGAAGAAGATTGAATGTAGAGAATTTTTTTGTTTTATTGTAACAATCTGCCATTCATGTCTCTTAGCATCACTTAGTTACGGACAGAACACAAAATTTTATTACTGATTTTTTTTCTTTTTCTCTACTCCGGATGTATGAATGGCGTCGCCATTGTCAATTGATGCATTGCCTCACTTATTCAGAGCATGCCGAAGATTTTACTAAATACAAATATTACAATAATAGCAGTATTTAGTTTGAAGGTTTTGCTTGAAACAATAAAATTTATTTATCATTCAGACTCAATAAATGAATTTTAAGAGTATATTATTTTGTCCATGATGATTATAGGATGAGTTTTTGTTCAAAAAATATAAATTGAACATATAGATTATGAACATAAAAAGTTATCGTGTATGAAGGATTTATTAAACAAGGCTAGAAATTCAATTAGGCTCTCGCTCTTTTGAAATATTCTTTTTTGGGAAATATATCGAAATAAGCAATTAAATGTTGTAGTGGTTCATCAATCCATTCATATAGGGCGTAGATCTTCTCTTCGCGGATACCGACACCCATACGCGTACCCTATCGGTGTATGTTTAGTTCCCCTTATCTTTCTGTCAACAAGAACATCTTTTTACGAATTGAGATGTTTTTCAGCTGTGTTAAATAATTATTTCAAATAAGAAATAATAATTAGATCAATTTTATCCATTCTAAAGAAATTCTATCGTTATTGAAAAAAAAAGTCAACCAAAACATAGTATTGATATTGTTCAATGGTAGTTACTGTAAGTTACTAGATGAAACGTTTTGAAAGAAATCTTCGCTCGTTCTTAATGTTAATATATATGAAACATAACAGACTAAAATAGGAGCTCTGCCTATTAGAAACTTCAAGAGTTGTATGAGTTTTACTTTATATATCTTCGTAAAACTGAAGTAACAACAGACTGTTTCCCAAAAAAGACTGATTGGTTAATTGATATATTAAATGCACCGGTTTCTAGTCGTTGTTTTTACTGATTAAGTCAAGAATTTCAACTAACCTGTTCTAAATATGACCTGCATGATTGATAACTGCTATTTTCCTTTAATTGCTATGCTCAGAGCAAAAAAAAATGAAAGTTCAATGTGTATGAATATTTTTAAATATCTCCAGATTTTGTAACTTTTTTCTCTGAATTCTTAACATTTGTTCTTTCTAATAAACAAAAATTCAATGTTTTGGGTTATTGAAAACGCTACTCGATAATGTTTTCATTTCTTTTGCATCGCATATTATTCATTCTAAACAAACTTTCAATCATTTGAACCGGCCATCGTTCGATTGCTTCGGGCATTAACGTATGATTTGTATATGCAAAACAATTGACCGTTATATACCATGCATCATCCCATGATAAATGTTCATTATCAAGAAGAAGTCGCATCATTTCCGGTATAGCTAATGATGGATGAGTATCATTTAATTGAATAGCTACCTAAAAGCAAATATTTAATATTAAAAATGAAAATAAATTGTCGTGTTTTTTCCTTTTTACCATGTCGGGCATGCATTTAAAATCTACAGATACGGATGAAACCGATATTTGATTTGACTTAGCTCCTGGTAATTGTAAAGTATTGTTTTTTGTTTCTTTATTTGATGATGCTTGCCAACGTTTTTCACCTTTAAATCGACGTAAAATATCATGTAAACTAGCTGCAATTAAGAAATATTCTTGTTTTAAACGTAATTCACGTCCTTCAGCAATATTATCATTAGGATACAATACACAAGTAATACCTATTTTTAACAATAAAATGTATCACATTAGGTGTAAAAAGCAAAAATAATAATTTTACGTTCAGCCTTGTTACGTTCCATTACTGCATGTATGTATTCACCTTCATTGAATGATTTAAAATTAAAATCGCAATCAGCTTTAGCAGAAAAAAGACGCATCGTATTGACAATCTGTAGATGAAGATAATTCATCTTTAATAAAAAAATAAAATAAAACAATCTTAATATTCTCACGTTGTTTTTATAACCAGGTACAGGATAATCATAAGCTAGACAAATCATTTATTTTAAAAAGACAATAATGAAAGATTTTTCAAAAAATCTACCTTGAGCAATTACTGTTTCATAGTCAGTCCATTGAAAGCTATTAGTAGATTCATTCCAAATAACTTTTCCATAAAAATGAATACGAATTTCATTTTGAACTCGTCGAACCTATGTCAATTCAATTTATTAATTCATACTAATGCTAACAATTAATTACTTCCCAAGGCATTGGCTGTCGAAGCCAATCATCTGGTACTTCTACTTGCCAACTAGATAAAAAGAAATTTTTAGTCTTCCCAAGAATAACATGTTCAAATTAAGATTATCAATGAATTCTCATTTACCCGTCGACAATTTGCTGTTTAAATATTCCAAATTGATATCTTAATCCATAACCATAGGATGAAATACCCAATGTAGCCATTGAATCAAGAAAGCAAGCTGCTAAACGACCAAGACCACCATTGCCTAATGCAGCATCATCTTCAAGTTCTTCAATATCATTTAATTTAATATTAAGTGCTTCAGCTGCTTGTGTCATTTGTTCATTAATATCAAGATTAATCAATGTATTTCTCATATATCGTCCAATATAAAACTCTAAACTTAAAAGAAACTAATCCGCTAAATATGCAGTATTGGAAATAAATCTACCTAAGATAATATACTCGTTTACCACCTGCCATTTGATAAAATTGTTGTGTACGAATCCAATTTTTAGCGAGAATATCTAAAAACTAGAATTATCTTTTGTTTTTCATCATTCCATTAACCTCTTAAAGCTTGTGACAATGCTAAATAATATTCTTGATAACTAGAATGAAATCGATCAACCATCAATGTTAAATGTAAATGTCGATTAAAATTTTCGACAAGACTATAGTTAGGATTTGTTATCAGTTGAACATATACTATCATGCAAAAGAACTTACTTAAGAATTGGTTCAATATTTTTAATTTGATGTAAGGAGACTCGTAAATTTTGTGCTTCAGTTTGACGATGAATTTCTTCTTCTTCATCGGTTGGTATATAGCGAACCGACACAAAAGAGCTGCGTGAACGCCGTTTATGAGCTCCAGTGACGCTCATTTATGACAAAAAATGAAAAGAAAAAACATAATATTTCGCGCACTTTTAACTTATCATCAACTTTAGTTCTACGAATGTTTCTAGCAGTGAAATAAATAGTTGTGATAGTTCAATTCAAAAACAAAGATGGAAGTAAAGATACCCTTAATACTTACGAGAAGAAAATGAAAGTTATAATAAACTAATGAAACATCCTGAACATTTGAATGAAGTCTGAATGACTTATTTTCAATAGAAACAGTTTTTGATTTAGATGGAGTATACGAGTTCTGAACGATTGTGTATAAATAGCCAACCGTAGAAAAACTAAGATGAAAGTTTATGTCAATTACGATGCAGACATGGAACGAACTCAATGGTATTTATTGTCACAGTAAAACAACTCGAGTCATGTTGGGTTATTGACCACTGAACATAGTCAAAATATTTCAAATGAATGTTCTTGATGACTTTTCACCGTAGAAATGAATATTGAGTATATAAATGAAGTGATATTCAATTGTTCATACAAGACTTGATGGAGAGTCCTCTACACCATCACCAAACCTAGTTACTAGAAAATTTTAGTTGTTGACATGAGTTAATTGATTTGAAAGGCCATAAAACATAAATCAGATACTCCCGAGATTGTACAACTTTTTAGCAGTCTTTTAATACTTCGACAGCTTGCTCATTTTAACCCAAAGTATCGGTACAGTGATTTAAATAAATTCCAAAAACGAAAAATATCGGTAGCGATTCTCGGCACTTGATCTGACATATGGAGCAAAATAAATAAATGCGAGAAAATAGTTTTATTTGAATGAGTCTGCATTCACATCAACAATTGAACAGATCTCTTGCTCGTTTATCGTGCTATAAATTTACAAAAGTTCTTGTACAATGCAAGGTCATATTCCTCATCTAGAGATCTCTCGAAAAAACTCATCATAAAAAAAACTAGCTTTCTTCTTTTGACAGAAGAATTATGCTAGCTTAAAGTCCATTGCAATGACTATCAGAATATGTATAAATCTCAAAATCAAGCTTTTTCTCAAATACATGACTTTTCCAAGAAGTTCCTATCAAAAACAAATTGTGCTCAAAATGAATGGGCTCGGTGGATTTTATTGAATTCTATATAGAGATTTGTATTCGATCGATTTATAACTAATTGAAGATTTTTTTTCTGCTGATCAATTCTTATTTGACGATGTATTCCATTACCATCTTTTAGACAAATATCGAGTTGTTCACTCCAAGAAAGATTTCGCGTGTCCAGAGCACTTAATGCTGCTCAGAAATAGAAATGCCTCCGTTTCAAATGCTATCGATCGTTCTTTTTTTAACTGATAGAATCAGATCTCTTCATTTTTAAGCTCGAGTTTTCTCTATCTGTAGGTGATTTATGCTTGATCGAGTCGATATATAATTGTTAACTTTCATATTGGTAATCTATTCTTTTATAAATTCTTTATAATTCAACTATTTTTTTATGCCCATTTTTCCGATAATTTCTATTTGATAAGATTGCGTTTGTTTATCACTTTTTTTTAATCTATATTTCAATACGAAAGACAAGAACGAATAATAAAATTATTTATTATACAGTTATCTTAGAATACGAATGCAATCACCTGAATTAATCAATCTAATAAGTATTTGCCAAGGAAATGGACATTCACTAAGTACTACGGGTAAATGAACAAGTTTTTCAATTCGACGATGCTCAAATTGTACTTGTTGATTATCACAATCGATAATTAATGTTATTTTATCACCTGTTTGAATTATTTCCTTACTATTATTACCATCTACATTATCACCATTCATAATAACATAATCAAGATTCCACCATCCATAAATTGAACGATCATATGCTGCAGTAGAAACTTCTTTTGCTGCAGAATGTATACCAAAAAAAATATTTTTCGTTCCTTTTTTTTCAATTAAAAATACAATAGAATGTTTTCCCGATGAATAATTATTAACACCACTGATTTGTGATATTCCAGCACGATAACTTGAATGTTTAACAAGAGATTTATCTTCAGATATTGTACATGGTCCATACATTGATACAAAATGTTCTTGTATAGATTCAATTAATTTTTCTGATGTATGATTATTTGTTTGTGATATGGGATTTGAACATAGTGATTGTTCTTGTTGTTCGATAATTTTAATTCCACGAATTGTTGCAGTAGCTTTTCTATCTTCTACAATACAAATATTCGTTGGTTTTTCCAGTGAATTTCGAAGTTCAGATAATTGTTTAGTCCATTTATCAATTTCAATTTCTGTATAATTCTCTGATTTTGCAGTTGTGCCATATTCTGAAAGTGTTTTATTTAATGAAATTTTAACTTCATCTTTTCTTTTTTCAATGATTTCTTGAATATCATTTCGAGCTTTTTCAGCAATTTCCTGAATTTTTCTGATTGCTTTTCGTTCCCAAGCATAAATACTCGATAGAAAGGATTGTTCAAAATCATTTTCATCTACATCTTTTTCTAAGACTTTATATTTTTCTTGAAGATCATCCATTTGTTGAGCAAGATATAATCGATGTTTTACAAAATGTGGAATACAATATGATTGTTGACATCCATAACACTTTGCAGCACATCCAGCTTTTTGACATTTTGCACAATTGGTTTTCTCCGCCATTGGTATTGTATTACCTTGATGATTGTATTCAATGTAACAATATATATATATATGTATATATGAATTGACTATTGAAAATTTATAAGGTCAATGGAAATTATACGATTTACGTTATTGGCAATCTATGAAATAGAAACGAAGAAAAAAATATTCAATATTGATAACAAATGCGATTAAACGATAATAAATATAAGTAATGTTTCTCATTGAAAAATGTACTAAAAATAAAGCAAGCATAAAAAAAAAATACAGGCAAGTGAAAATAACGACAGTAATTATTATATTGCATTAAAACATAAAGAAAACAACGTAAAAAGGTAATAGGTTATACATCTCTTATGACAATAATGTGAATGAAATATCATCCCATATCAAATTATATCATTGCAAATGGAACGATTAGACAAAATCTTGTCTACATATTTATTTATGTCTTTACATTGTATTGAGATGAGGAATCAACTGGAAAAATTCAACAGAGAAAACAGTACGATCGTTGTATTACGGATTTATCAAATCATTCCTACTATCAAAAAGTTAAGATAAGAAGATAGATGTATGACAACTTCCATCTCAATGAATTGCTATAAACTAATCGAAAAATCTAGTTGTCAAATTTTCTAATGTATGCTGGGTAATTCAACATATAATTTTATCCGAATATTAAGTTTCTGATAGGTACATTTCAGTACACTTGTATAGTTTAGCTACATGACTTGAAATGAAATAGTCACAAATCTAATGAGTAGGATAAAATGACAAGTTCTGTGACATAAGCTCATAAAAGAAAAAAAGAATTATTCACTAGATTGTATTCATTTGAAAGGAACTAGAATAATCTGAACCTACTCAATTAGTTAATATGAAACTGTTACCGACCTATAAGTAAATAATTTTTTAAATCTCGTCTCTTGTTCTTACAATACAAATGAATCTAAATTCTATCAATTAATTGGAATAGTAGATTAGGATAACTGGCAAAAATCAATATGGATTGAAATGAAATATTTCATCAACAAACCGTTGTGTTCTTGAAGATAGTGAGAATCTACAACACTTATCAATATGATTGATAATAGCGTCTCGTGTTTTATATTTTCATTATAATATGCGACACAAAAGTAATGATACACAATGTCACACTTTATACCTCTTCATAAACACATGCTAGAAAAAAAAATGTGCTCTTTTGTTTCAATCAATAGAAAATTTTGTTCTCGTTATAAATACATACAATCTGTACTTGTTATATATTAGTGAACAGACTAATGCGAAAGAAAAGAAAAAAAACAAGAAAAACTCTCACGTAAAAAATTCAACATTTTCATGAAAATTGGTTTGAAAAACTTTCTAAGGCGACATTTTTACAATCAGTTTGATGAGTTGACAAATATCGAATGCTAATCGTTTTATAACATTCTATTAAAAGACATGATATAACAACTAACACATTTATTGTACGAATGCGTATATATGTTGTTTCTTGAGTCATTTTATTTTATAGATGCATAATAAATATACGTAGTATACGAACCAAAAAAGAAAGCAATTTGTCCTTATAAATAGGAAAAAAAATGTATTCTTTGGATATTTCATCATTGTAAAAGCTAATCATTGGTTGAAGTTATGATAATATCATTTATATTCAAATCAGACGACAATATGTTGACGTAAGAAAAAGTAAGAATTTACTTCAATGATCAAATTTAAGTCATGCACGCTTCGTTGTAGATAATGACAAGATTGGTACGACTGAAAAACATCTGACACCCATATTATCATGAAAAAAAAAGTTAATAGAGTATTGTGTCTAGGTTTTTTCTTCTTTTCATGCAGAAAAAAATGCACATTTTTTTTTATAAACAACAACAAAAAAACAACAAATCAGATGGTGCATTTCTCACTCGATTAAATTTCATTTTAACATAAAAAAAAACGAAAACAACATATCTCTTGTTATTCAGTTAAAATGACACATAAAAATACGAATATTATTTATGAAATGGATGAAATATTCGAACGAATGCATGCACGACTTGATCAACGTCTTCAACAATTAATTCGACAAGTAAATACTCATTCAAATTCAATGATTCATTCACAAAAAAATAGTAAGTTTAACTGTAAAACAAAAAACAAAGCTAAAATCATTATTTTTTTTTGTAAATTTTATTTTACATCAGGGAATATTGCACTTGTATTTTGTCCCGTTAAACAAAAACAATTAGAAGAATATATTGATAACTTTGGCTGTTTAACACCATCAAAATCTCTCAATGACATTCAATGGTGTGAGTCAGTGTGTGCATATTTGGCACTTAATCACTCTTTTCTACCTTTTCTGTCTCTCTTTTTCTATACTAAATAGTGACTAAGTCGACATCAACATCATATGCCATGCACAGGTAAATCGAGAAAAAAAACAAAGAACAACGTAGAGATATTTCATAATCGATTTCTTTTATAGTATTTCCACATTACTTCAACAACCTATGAAAAAAACAACAGTTAAAACTACGGCGAAAACTGAAGATAATAATAATAATAATAATGATAATGATCATTATCGAATAATTGGAAAACATGGACGACAAAAAGGACAATTTAGTAATCCACAAGATGTGTTAATTATAACAAATCCAACTCGAACACTTCTTGTTTCGGATACAGTCAATCAGAATGTACAACTTTTTTCATTAGATACGGGTGTTTGTACAGGCACTTTTTTATCACCACCAAATTCAAAACATATAGCACTTCGTCGTCCTATTGGTTTATCGAATACATTGAACAATAGTTCAATATGTTTTGTAGCTGATTATGATCAACATTTGATCAGTACTTGGAATATTGATGAAAATGGAAACGGAAAATTATTGAAAAAATTTGGTCAACAATCTCTGTTAGGCCCAAAAGGACTCTGTGTATCAGATCAATCACAACGTGTTGTCGTAGCTGATAATAAAGCCAATAGTATATGCTTATTTGATTCATCGGGATTATTTTTACATAGTTTTGGTACACGTGGATCGGAACCACATGAACTTGCTGGTCCACATTACGTTAAATTTACTGAGCAAGATAACGATCGAAATATAATTGTAACAGATTTTTATAATAATTGTGTAAAAATATTTGATATTGAACGTCATGGACAATTTGTAACAAGTTTTGGTTCAATGGGAACGAAACATGGTTCATTTCAAGCTCCAACTGGTTTAGCTATTGATTATGAACGAGGCTATATATTTGTTTCAGATTGGGGTAATAATCGAATTCAAGTATTCGATCGTCAAGGTTCATTTATACGTATTATTGAACTGTCAGCATCTGACATGCTCTATGGACCACAAGGACTTGATTATGAATCAACTACTCGTACATTAGCTATTGCTAATTCCGGTAAACATTGTGCAAATTTGGTTCATATTGTTTGACTAGTATCTCTTTTTATTGCATAAATATAAAGGAAAGAAAAACAAGCAAAACAAAAAAAAAAAGAAATTTAAACTGTTTAACAATTCGTTAAATCAAGTCGACGTTGAAGTACTTGATCAGCTTCGAATTCACTTAAATGATGAATACCCATTTCATGTAAAGCAGAAGGCAACGGAGATGATACGATAGATTCCTTAGAAGATACATTTGATAAAGGTGTCATTGATAATTCTTGTTGTAAAGCATCAACTAATAAAAGAGCAGAACCGATTGGCATTGAAAGAAGTAAAGCCGATTCACGACATCTATGAAAATCGAAAACATTAATATATAAACGTAATTCATGAGTAATACAGTCTGTACACAGAAAAACAAAAGTTGATTATACATATGATACTCAAAATATCATATAAACAATGAGCTTTCTTATATTCAAAACATTCATCAGAATTAAAGAATAAACGAGTATATATATGTTTAAATTTATACTAACTATAAACTATTAGAACAATCAACAAACAAAACAATGAATATTTTGTTCAAAATTTTCTTAACAGAAACTAACGATGAATCATAAATATTTACATAATTGAAATTTTAGTTTATAAGAAGAGCATATCTATAAATTTTTTTTCACATTCTTAAAAAAAATAAGTAAAGTAGTCTTGCGAAGCAGTCCCAAATGTCCCGTCCCGTGGAGAATTCGGGATAAGACAAACCAGATTCACAACTCGATAGCCTGAATATCGATCTCATTTTCTTGTTTGATTTTACTCGTCATATAGTTAGGAACAAAAAAATTGCGCTTGCTTTTTGAAAAATATTATTTGATTTTTTTTCGATATGGTAACAAAACGTCGTCAATACGGGTTTGCCTTCAGAAATTTTTACTATCAGAATTTCAGTTTCAAAAGAAACGAATCACATATTCAGAATCAACACAGAAATCTGCATTCAATAGTCAAAACTAATTTCGTCAAATCATGGTCCTTACACACCTTTACTGTTATATTCGAATGTTCTGACCTTGTGCTTCCTCTAAGGTCGAAGCTTAACAAAAATTAATTTTGAATACTGAGTATACTATTCGATACAAATTTTTGTGCCGCTTCTGAATACAAATTTGTATTAATGCATTTTGCTGTGTTATCGGAAAAATCGATTTTCTGAACAATCAAACTATAGATTTACAAAATAATGCAGAATTTTTTTCTTTGAATATATGAGGAGTAAAATCAAAACAAAAATTTTGATAATATATTGAGATTATTGAATCTTGATACGTTTTGGCGTATTTCAATGCTAATTCTTTTTAAACGTAATTTTTACTGCAAAAAACTATTTTTCTTACTTATTAAATAATTGTGATAAATGATCATTGGCAATACGAGACCATCCTCGATTAATATCAAAAAGAAATTGTGATGCACCACCTTCATTAAATTTATGATCATTGACAATCTATAGAAGAGCAAACACAATTTTTAATTAAAGTCTTTTTTGTCTTTTATGCAATCAATTTTTCATACCCAACTAAATAAATATTCATCAAATTCCATAAT